GCATGACTGAGCTGCTTCTGGTGAGCCAGAGCAGCGCACGGAAACGCCATTTACCTTCCCGCCGGAGCGTTACCTATTTATCTACTTGCACTTTGGCGTGCTTTCGAACTGCTAGGTTGGCAGGAGCAGGGACTGAGCAACAGGAGCTCACCCCGTCGCGGGGATTCGAACCGCTGACCTTCTGATCGGCAAGTCCTAGGCTCTGTGGTTTAACCCACAGCACCACCCATGTCCCTTAGGGGATGCATGGAAGGCAGCAAATGGAAGTAGTATAAGCAGGTGAATGGAGCAAGGAAAAGATGACAAGGATCTTGCCTAAAATTCTTTTGATGGAGCTGAAAAATCCTGATCATCCTTGCAAGCAGCTGTACTTAAACATCTGTACTTAAAGCTAATTCCTGCAGAAAACAGCCTTGGTCTGGCCAGCCTCTTCAGGGACAATACAAGAACCAGTCCAAACAAGGCAAGTATCCCACTTCAACTGAAGGTCACAACTTTGTTTGGTCACACATCTTACTTTTGTACAATAGCAGTGGAAGGCATTAGCTTTGCAGGATAATCTTCATGGAATGCGCTGATGAAGGTTTACTCTTGGGAAGCTTCATCACGTAGAAAGCAGCCTCAGTTCAGAGTGCAAGGCAGGTATTAACAGCTCAGGACTGGACTGCAGGTTCTGTGATTGCTTACATGGCCCTCATCCATTCATTTAAAAGCTTCTGGATTAGAAGCACAGAATTGTAGCATTGGAAGGAACTCTGAGGGTCATCTAATCCAACTCCCTGCAATGCAGGTATCTCCACTAGATCACACGTGAATTCAACCTCTGCTTTAAAACCTTCAAGGAAGGAGAGTCCACCCCCTCTTGTGGGAGTCTGTTCCACTGTCAAACAGCTCTTACTGTCAATAAATGTTTCCTGATCTTTAGTCAGAATCTCTTTTCTTGTAACTTGAATCCATTGGTTTGGGTCCTACCCTCCAGAGCAGAGGAAAACAAGTTTGATCCACCTTCCATGTGATAGCCCCTGACGATATTTGAAGATGGCTATCATATCTCCTGGGACGCGGGTGGCGCTGTGGGTTAAAGCCTCAGCGCCTAGGACTTGCCGATCGAAAGGTCGGCGGTTCGAATCCCCGCGGCGGGGTGTGCTCCCGCTGCTCGGTCCCAGTGCCTGCCAACCTAGCAGTTCGAAAGCACCCCCGGGTGCAAGTAGATAAATAGGGACCGCTTACTAGCGGGAAGGTAAACGGCGTTTCCGTGTGCTGCGCTGGCTCGCCAGATGCAGCTTGTCACGCTGGCCACGTGACCCGGAAGTGTCTGCGGACAGCGCTGGCCCCCGGCCTATAGAGTGAGATGGGCGCACAACCCTAGAGTCTGGCAAGACTGGCCCGTACGGGCAGGGGTACCTTTACCTTTTACCTATCATATCTCCTCTCAGTGTCCTCTTTACCAAACATACCCAGTTCCATCAACCATTCCTCATAAGTCTTCATTTCCAGACCCATTATTATCTTGGATACCCTCCCCTGCAGACATTCCAGCTTGTAAATGTCCTTATTAAATTGTAGTGACTAGAATTCGACAGACTCCAAGGCAGAATGGACCAAGGCAGAACAGAACAGGACTAGTATGATGGGGATACCATACTTCTGCTGATGCAGCCTAAAATAGCATTAGCTTTTCTTTTTTTTTGCTGCTGCATCACTCTGCCGACTTGTGTTCAAGCTTGTGGTTTACTAAGACCCCTAGATCCTGTTCATAGGTGTCCCTCATCTTATATTTGCACAGCTTCTTATTCCTTCCTAAGTGTAGAACCTTACATTTGTCCCTACTGAAATTCATTTTGTTAGTTTTGGTATGCCACACACTTTGAGAACCGATGAACTTTTTGTTGTTCTCCCACACCCCTTTTAAAGATGGAAACAACATTTGTCCGCCTCCAGTCTGCAGGGACCTCACCTGCTCTCCAAGAGTTCACAAAGTTTATAAACAGGTGCTCTGAGATGGTATCTGCAAGCTCCTTTAGTACCATTGGGTGCAGCTCATCAGGTCCTGGAGATTTGAGTTCATTTAAAGCAGCTACGTGTTCCCTTACCAGCTCTTTTCCTATCTTGGGCTTCATCTCCCTCCTTGCATGATTTATTGTGTTATTTATTGTGTTGCATGATTTACCAGGTTAGGTGCCACTTTCCTTTTGGATGAAGACAGAGGCAAAGCAGGTGTTGTGCAGTTCCGCCTTCTCTCTGTCACCCAATAGCAGAGGCTAAAGAGATTAGAAAGTGAGTCAAGTGAAATCCCTTGAGGAAAGATGACAGTTTAATTGCCATTGGCTGCTAAAATGACCTAGCTGAGCAATTGTACTAAGATAAAGTGTAGGGTTGTGAAATATACCATTAAAGGATTCAGAAACCCCTCTTGCAAAAAAGGAGCATGATGAGCAACCCCTCTAAGGAGGAAATTTGGGGCCCATGTATTTTATCTCCTACCTCTACTGTGAGAACAGGATGCTGAGCTGGATGGGCTCACTTTGGCCCGATCCAAGAGGCTCTTCTTATGTTCTTCTTATTTATCATAATGCTAATGAACACATAGGTGCTGGTACCTCTTACCTTTTTATTACTTCCTTTTCAGAACATGTAGTTGACATTCAACTCTAAGGAAGCTGGTATCAAATGGTGAGAGGTAACAGATTTGGGATGGGGAGGATAGAACCTTCCTATCATAAAGGGGTAGGGAATAACTACTGCAAGGTGCGTGCTCACAAAGTTACGAAGCGTCCAACACAATTTAAACACAGGTTGCTCAATAAAGGTCTGGCATGAATACGGTATATATTGTTGTGTTTTTATACTGTAAACCTGTAAACCCTGTGATCCTCCGATGAAGGGCAGTATAGAAACATTGTTAATAATAAAATAATAATAATAATAATGCCTCCCAAAAAGACAGACACAGGATTATAATGCATTGATTTTTTTAAAGCCCTATCTCCATATGAACTTGCGACAGACCCAATTAAAAGACTGCTTTTAAAACAAAACAAGATTTAAAAACATGCTGTCCATTAGCTGCCCTGAAACCCACCCACTCTCAGCTTAACCCTGACCCTGCTGCCCTCTCAGGGCTGCAGCTTGTCTAAACAAGACAGATTTTGCAACATCTCTAAAAAAGAGAATATTCTGAAATTGTCTATTTAAAGTTTGACAGATGGCTGACAAGATAACAGGGCATAGGGAGGGGGATGTACAAAAAGGAATTCAGAAGGATGCAAAAAGGTAGAAGGAGTTGAAGTTTAGGAAGCAGACAAGTTACAGAAGAGGGAGGGAGAGGTTGGAAAATCTAAATGATACTTCCGAAAGACACTTCTGAAATCCGAAGCAGAGAAGTGTCTGACAAAAGGGAGGGCTTGGGGAGGACGAAAGGGGAGGAAGAATGAAAGGGATACTGGAGCAGAGGACTGCATAAAGGAGTGTGTGGGGGAACTTTAAAAACAAAGCTGGCCAGATTTGGGGGATGTTGGAAAAGGCAGATCCTCTCTATAAAGAGGATAGGGGGAGAGGGGGAGAGAGAGGAAAGGAAACTTGCCATTGTGTGGAGGGGGTGAGAAGCAGCCCTGAGAGAGACAATGATGAAAAATAATAGTGTAACATACAAAAACAGAATATAATCTCCATTTCAACATTCAGACATTATCATCACAGTAAAATTTGCTTGCTGATGTCTGAAGAAGTGTTTTATTTATTTTTTTTTGGGGGGGGGGAGGCTAGGCACGAAAGAAAGGTAGCAATCTCCACCCCTTTTCTTAGGGGCGGGGGAACACGGAGGGGGCACAGATTTCAAGGTCAGCTTTTTTGAGAGAGGAAGAGAGTGAGCGAGCAAGGCCAGCATCACTGCCAATGTTCTCCCTTTCTTCTCTTTAAATTTCCGCTGAAGTCCCTAGGACAATCAATTGCTTCACCCGGAGATTTTCAGGGGCTGGGTGGGGGTGTGACCTTGTACACATGCACATTTTTCATCACCCCCAAGGGGGGAGGGCAAGTGGGTCTTCTCTCTCCTCTACCATAACCCCCCCCATTCAGTTCCTGCCCAAGAAGACTATTATTTTTCTATCACAATCCGTTGCCCCTATAGTTCTTTGTAGCCCCCCTTCCACCCCTCCTCAGAAGATTTATCTCCATTTGTTGCCCCCCCAAATATTTTCTCCCAACTCGTCGCCCCCAAAATGCTCTACATTCCCAGTAATAGTTTTCTCCCCAGTTGTTGCCTCCCCGCAAAATATCTGTCCCCCACCCAAAAATCTGCACTGCCCCAAGAACATTCATTACCACTGTTATATTGTTGAATGTATACAGCTTCCCTCCCATCAATAAATAGCCATTTGGACACTTATAAATAATATTAAATAATGTACTTATTATCTACTTGTAATGATTAAGTAGATAATAAGACAAATCCCCCTCCCCCACAAAATTACCATTATTATATTATTAAATTCATACAGCTTCCCTCTCATATTCCCTGGGTGACTAACAAATAACATTAAAAACAGTGCATTCAATAATTACAAATAAATAATATGCTAGGGACGCCCCCTTTATATGATTTTGCATTTTTTGTATATTGTTTTTCTCTGTTTATTTTCTCTGTTTGTTCCCTGCTCTGGGATTGAAAATGTCCAGTTAAGAGAGGGATATAAATACTGCGGCTAATATTATTAGTAAGGCAAGACCCCCGCCCCCAATTATCATTATTGTATGATTCAATTTGTAACAGCTTCCCTCCCATATTCTTCGGATAGCCTCAATATTTAAAAAAATCCCGTATTTAATAATTACAAATGGTAAGGTGGGCAACCCCCCTCCCAAAAAAAGACTCTCCACCAGAGAACACCCCGCTTTTTTCTCTCTCAATTGCTACGCCCACTCCCCAAAATAAAGCTGCGCCCCTTCACAAAAGAAAAAAAAAATCCTGCCTCTCGATCTGACAATATATATGCATATACATGAAGACAACGACGCCCAGCGGCCGCCCTCACCGCCGCGGTGGGAGATGTGCCGGCATCGGAAGCGGTGGCGCTTGGGTCGGTGGAGCAAGCCCGGGTACTTCAGCAGCAGCGCCGAAGTGAAGAGGTAGCCGCCCAGCGTGGAGAGGAGGTAGAAGACGACCGACATGGTCGCTCCTCCTCAGGCGGCCGAGGAGGAATGGAAGACGGCAGGAGCCGAGTGCTGCGAAAACGCAGCCCCTCTCGCCTAGTACCGCCCGCTCCCTCCTGAGCGGGGGTCTGAGGCGACCGGCCACCGCTCCCTTGTCTTTTCTCCGGACCGCCAGGGAGCCCCGCCCACTCCGGCAGCGCATGCGCCAGTCCCACTTGCGGTTGGTGGAGGGGGGGTGGATGATGATGATAAGGATAGCAGAGATGTAGGCGCGAGCGCGCTCGGCGCGCTGATTGGTCGGCGAAGCGCGCGGCCCGACAATAACGATTTTAGCACGGGGCGGCGAAGAATGTTGGCGGCGGCGAAGGAAAGAAAGGGATTGCTGCTGGCGGTGGCGATGGCTCCGCTGTGACGTCACGGGCCGTCGCTAGGTCGCAGACGCCCCGCCCACCGCGGCCAATCCGGTGTGTGAGGTAAATCTGAAATAACGGTCCCTCTTCCCCTCCTCGCGCTTTAGAATGACGAACGCCACCAACGTTTACGGAATAATAATTAACAACACGTTAAAACAGTAGTGACAATAAAGCTTATTATTTCATTAAGATAATAATGATGATGATAATAATAATAATAATAATAATAATAATAATATGAAGGCCAAGCAATTGGGTAGTATTCAGTGTACATCCTGCTCCGACAAGAACCACCGAAAAGGAGGAGCATGACCTTGATTTAAGTCCATCAGTTTCAATGGGGCTACTCGTGAGTAGAACTTAGATGGATACGACCCATTACTGTTATTGATGTTATTTCAAATTCTTACCCGTCCTTCACCATAAGGTGCCAGGGTGGAGTTGCAGAAGTCTATAAAGTATATTTTTAGCCATTCTTTATTTTTTAAAAAATGCTACTTAATTAAGGCCACACTAAGGTTCTAATGGTCAGGGGTCCCTTTACTTTTACCTTTAAGGTTTATACTTTTGGGCAGTGTCATATACAAAAGATATTCAACAGACTTGCGCACGACAATTACTTTATTAATTCATCCTGACTAAGACACCCCTATTTGCTTATGCTACATAGACACATGCCCAAACCTTTAACTCCATAATAAGGTTTTAATAGACTAAAACAGACCAACACAGACACTAAGCAGTCACTCTATTAGTTGCAGCTATTGTTTAGTCCAGGATGCAAAAGAGGCTGTGATTAGTATGGTAATTCTAAGTTAACATTTTTTGGGGGGTATTTTATTTTTAGTGATCAAGTTCTGGCTCAATAGCTCAGTCAGTAGAGCATGAGACTCTTAATCTCAGGGTTGCAGGTTTGAGCCCCAGGTTGGGCAGACGATTCCTGCACGGCAGGGGGTTGGACTAGATGACCCACACGGTCCCATCCAACTCTACAATTCTATGATGCTCTATGTGAGCAGAAGCTTCTGAGAACAGCTGTATGATGCCATTGCTCTTTATTCTTGCCAGCCCTTCCTCAAAACCTACCTTTTCCATTAACACTTCAACACAACCCTCTACTTCCCAAACTCTACTTGCAGGTGCAGCTTAAAGTGCCCTTCAGGTATCCTTGGACTACAACTCCCATCAGCCCTAGGCAGAATTGGCCAATGGTCAGGGATGATGGGAGTTGTAGTCCAGCAACATCTGGAGGGCACCATGTTGGATACCACTGCTCCCCTGTAACAAAGCATTATCCTGTATAAAAGAAACAACCATAAATTGTTTCCTTTCCTCTGTTTCACAACAGATTCTAGTTTGTAGCCTCCTTGGGATAGAGACCTTTCCTCCTGAACTGTGTTCCAAACTACCATGCAAACTGACACCAGCTTATCAATAACTTAAAGAAACAATATGATTTGGTTTTCCGAAAGAGGCCAAGGACATCTGCAGCACTTCCAACATATTTCTGTTCAAAATGAAACACTGATGTTCCATAACTTTCAGTTAATTGAAGATTATTCTTTAGGGAAGCTGAAATACCTTCATTCCCAACTTTAATTGTGCTGAGAGCCCCCTAGTGGGCTAGCCCAAGCAATTGCAACCGTGTGGTTCCTTGAAATGCAAGGGCTTCCACAAGCGAGCCTCAGATGTGAATGACAGGCATTATTCCATAGGATTACAAATCCCTTTATAAACTGCCCTTGCATGTTCAGCCAAATCTCAAATGCTGGATGCACAGCAGCGATAGGAAACTTTAGGCCTGGGGGCTAATTGCGGCCCTTTACACCTCTCCACAGGCCACATCTTTCTTTGAGTGCCTTTGCCTAGCTGGAATGCGTCCTTGAACTGTGATAATGTTTCTTGCTTGCCTGGTTGGTGAAATGTATGTGTAGAAACCTCTGACATTTTCAAGGCTATAATGTAGCATACATTACAAAAGCAAAAGTCTTTAAGAACTTGCCAAAGTTTGCTGTGGTTGACAGAGTCAAATGCTTTTGCGTAGTCAATGAAGCAGAAGTAGATGTTTTTCTGGAACTCATAGGTTGCTCCTTTATAGCTGCAGCTGTGCTGCTTGAATTTGGCACCTTCCCTGTTGTGTTGCTTTCAGCAGGGATTGGATACACACAGCAGCGATCGGGGGTCCCAGAGCATATCCAGTCCCTTAACAAAACAGCACAGCAGGGTAAGGTGTTGAATTCAAGACACAGCCAAAAAAAATGAATGTTCCTTTGCAGCTGTGACTTAATCTGCCCTGTACCCAATGTCATATCATGGCAGGTTATAGACAAGTGGGTATGGCTTGAGCAGATCAGCCTTGTGGGCCAAACAGGGAGAGCAGGAAAGCCAAATTAGGCCTGAAGGCTCAAGGTTTCCAACTGCTGACAATCCCTCACTTGGTTACCTGTGTAGACCCCATCCTGGTCACTAGGTGGGCGGGTTAGATTACTGTTTTCTTTTTAAGGTCCTAAATGACTAAACACAGGCTCATATCTGCAGGTGTGCCATAAAACTGAACAAACATTGTGGGATTATTTGCAAGAGTGCACCAAAACATTTGGCTGTTTTCTGCAGGAGCAGCAGGTGGAGCCACAGTGCAGAGAGGGAGAAAAGGACAGCTCAATTTGAACAAGGACTTGCATAGTCCAAAAGGTCATTGGCAGGCCTTGCTCCTCTTTCAATGGCAAAGGTTCAAGGCCAGGAATGTGCATAGATTAAACAAAAAGCAAAAAACATCTGACCAGGCCAGAGTATTTCCCAATCATGTTTGAATAATTGTAACATGCTATTCCACATCTGGAATTAGCTGGAAGTCCAAACCACAGAGCAGAAAAAAACAACAGTGCCCTTTGTTGTTGCAACACTTTAAAAGAATCGCTGATGTTTAAGAAGTTTTTAGTTCAAGTTCTGCTTTTTTATATATAAAAAAGATCTGTCCACATAAAATACTGTATCTGTTTCCTAATGCAGATAGGTAGCCGTGTTGGTCTGCCATAGTCAAAACAAAAAAATTCTACTGGAAGGAATTTTTTTGTTTCCTAATGGTCCTTCACACCCCTTCTCCTTTTGTCAAGCAGGAGACAATTAGCTTGAATCACCTTTTATAGAAGATGGACATGACATCCACACTTCAGTACAATCCTTTGGCTGTCTACTCGGAAGTAAGTTTCATTGAATTCAGTGGCATTTATTCCCAGGAAACTGGATAGAGGATTTGGAAACTTCAGTTGGTCCAAAGGGAGGTGACCAGAATTACTAGGGGCACCTGATGACTGGAGCATATAATTCTAGACTTGTGCTAGATCCAATGATTACCCACAAGGATTCTTATATAAAGCTGCCCACATTTTAAGATCTATTTTGGAGGCCCCGCTCCCTGCATGAATGATCAAAGTGGCTAAACACAAGAGACAGGGCCTTTTCAGTAGTGGTGCCGATGCTTTGAAATGCCCTCCCTGTGGTGACTTGCCTGGCCCTGACATTTCCTGGAAAGAAACAGAAATTATGCAAATAGGCATTTACCATCTAGCTCTGCTGCTGTTTCTAACTGCTGCCTTTTATGGTTGGTTGCTTCTAATCCTTTTTAAAGTGCTTTATTTGTTCTTTATCGCATCATTGTGTCCCACTTTTTTTTTAGCGGCTCTGAGTATTTATTGGTAAAAGAGTGGGATATAAACATTAAATAGTAATAATAATAAATAGCATCCAGAACGTCCTTTAATGCAGCACTTTTTAGCCGATTTTTCATATCATCTCTCTTTGTATCCCCCTCCTCCTAAGAGCAAACTCCATCAGCCCCAGCCAGCAGGGTGAGGATATACTTCATTATGTCGTTGCAGCCACTTGAATACAATATAAAACAGTAATGACTTAAGAGCAGGTCTTACGTTTTATTTTTCCTTTCTTCATCTTGATCCACAGACCTTTACAAACTAGAACTTAATTTGGCTCCCGCATTAATATACCCCACCAGTCCAGTGTCTCTGATAGGACTTGGCACATACATATGGTTTCAACACCGGGACTTTTTAAGTGCAATAAAATCAAAGCAGTGATTGCTGTGTGAATTCCAGCTGCTGTTAATCAAAATCCGTCATTTATAATGGGGTGGAGGTGGGGGGGAAGGTAAGAAAATACTAAATTCCAAAGCCAATTCAACTTGTGTGGTCAAGTAAGTCCTATTGTATCACAGCTTTTAATATTCCTCGAAGCACCTTGTAACTCATGAGCTGCTGGTTTTCCTTTGGAGGGAAGGACGGTCCGCGTTCCGTCACGTAGGCGTAAGGAAACCGAAGAACCCACAGTCCATCGGAAGGAAGTTTTATCTCTTGTTTCTCCGGGTAAAAGACAGGGCAAGGAGGTGGCCCTGGCTGAACCTAGGAATGAAAGAGAAACAAACATAAACAAAATCTCCAGACAGGTAGCTGTAGCAAAATGACAAGTCTCTCATAAGAAAAGCCTACTGGATCAGGCCAGTGGCTCATGTCTACCCAGATACCTATGGGAAACCAGGATTCAAGCACAGGAGCAACTCTCCCCTCCTGTGGTTTCACACAACTGGTATTCAGAAGCATACTACTTGCTCCAGCTGTAGAGGCAGAGCATAGCCATCATGGCTCATAGCCATTCCTTGATAGCCTTATCCTTCATGAATTTGCCCAGTCTTCTTTTAAAGCCATCCACTTCTCAGCCTTGTGGCTAAGATCAAGTGTAGTGGTCTCATGACACCCTGAATACAAATAAAGGTAGCATGGCATAAACCAGGGGTGAGGAAGCATTTCCACCCCAAGGGCCACATTCATTCGTGGGGAACCTTCTGAGGGGCCACATGTGAGTCGTGGGTGGGGTCACAGGCAAAAGTGAGTGATCTATGGATGTGACTCTCAGGCTATACTCTAGCCATGCAAAAGTCAGGGGCTTCTACATAAGCCCACTCTATCCAGGCAAACAAGAGATATTGCCACTCCCCCAGGACACATTCCAGCCAGGCAAAAGCACTGTAAAGGGTGTGGAGCCTGGAGAAAGAACCCCAAAGGCCACAGAGAGAGTGAGAGCTGGAGGTCTTAGGTCCACTTCAGGACCTGAAGTTTCCCAAACCCAGCCACAATGTGTGATACTGAAATGGCAAGCCTATGAGTGCCTCCAAACAAGCAAAATTCACAAAGCTACAGTGGTGCCTCGCAAGACGAAATTAATCCGTTCCGTGAGTCTCTTCGTCTTGCGGTTTTTTCGTCTTGCGAAGCACGGCTATTAGCGGCCTAGCGGCTATTAACGGCTTAGCGGCTTTAAGAAAAAGGAATCAAACTCGCAAGAACTCGCAAGACGTTTCGTCTTGCGAAGCAAGCCCATAGGGAAATTCGTCTTGCGGAACGACTCAAAAAACGGAAAACCCTTTCGTCTAGTGAGTTTTTCGTCTTGCGGGGCACCACTGTATTTGATCTGCCCTCTGCTTCAAAAGAACTGCCCTACTCCCTGGGCCAGTCACCCCCTCTTAGCCAAACCGACTGGACAAAGATAAAAACTGCAGGGGAACTATGACCACAAGCCTTGGAAAGGTAGGATGTAAATCTAAGAAATACATTTAGTATAGGCCTAGCATTCTGCTGCTGCTATGGACTACCACTACTCATGTTCTAAGAACATTCACTAAAACACAGGTTGAAATACTGATACGTCAGTTGCTGCGGTTATCTTGTGAAGACTTATTATACTGCGAAGCCTTCCCCTGACCTATAAAACCAGACCCTGCCATGTGTGCTAAGAACAGCCAATGGCCTATCTAGTCCAGCATCCTGTTCTCACATACGCCAGAAACCCACAAGCAGGACCTGAGCACAATACACTCCAGCTTTTCTATAATCTTCTCACCTGTGGCGTCAGTACTATCTGCAGCGGAGCGTCAGGCACCACAACAAAGAGTCTCATCAGCTGAGCATAGTGCGGCTTCAGCCCCCGCCCCGGATTGGACGACAGGATGTACAGGGGCATGTCGGAGTTGAGAGCCTTGAGAGCCGATTCCTTTGGCCCCCCTCCCATCACCTTCATGACCTTCTCGGGGCCCGAACACATGAACCTCCGGCCGCGGGCATCCTCGTACTCGAACCCCACAAAGGCCCGGGCCACATCGTCCCGCCGCCTCCCTCTGCCCATGACGACTGCACTCCTTTTCCCGGGGACAGCCTTGTTAGGAGCCGGCCAGGAATTCGTGTCCAGCTCCCCCTCCTCTTCCGTCCGTGTCCGGATGACAATGTCCCAAGGCATTAGATAATTCGTTCCCAGGATGAAACCCTGCTGGTCTAAGCCGGTGTGGAAGTTGTAAGCCTTGGCAGGGCCGAGTTTTACCAGCGACCAGCTGGAAAACTTGGGCAGGAGGCCCTTGGGGCAATTGGAGTGGAGCATCCCTGGCAGATACTCAACCGTCGAGGCTTGGCGGTCAACCAAGCTGGGCCTCTTCTCTCCTTTGGAGTCAGCTGCCTGCCCGTGAGACTCCGTGTTGTTCCCTCCGCCCTGAGGGTCGGCTGGGTAGGTCCCCAGGCTGTCCGTGGACTGGCCCAGACTGAGCGCTAAGCTCAGGCTGGTGCTCTCCCCCTGAGTCTGCGGCTCCTTCTCCTTCAGCTTTTCGGCTTCGCCCTCTGGAGGGCTGGGCGACGTCTCATTCTTTGCCGGTGCTGGATCTGGAGTGCTTGGCTGGAAGATGGGGAAGTTGATGTGGTCCAGTTTCCCGCAGCATTTCTCTTCCAGCAGCTAGGAAAGCAAAAGAAAGGGGTAGAAATGAGAAGGTTTGCAACCTAGAGCCGGGTGGGGAACATTGTTCAGCTTGAGGGTCGTGTTTCCTTGTAGGTAACCTTCTGCGGGGCTGCATAACAGTGGTGGATGAAAAACAGGTGCAAAAGCAGGTGGAGCAATGAATGAGATTCCTATCTTTGTAACACAGGCCATAGCCCAGTCATGCATAAGGCAGCCGTATCTGCACACAGATACACACACCCCTCCATCCTTCTAGGTCAGGGATCTGCAACCTTTAAGACAAAAAGAGCCACTTGGACCCGTTTCCGAAGAAAACAAAACTGGGAGCCGCAAAACCATTGCGACATTTAAAACAAATATAACACCGCATATATTGTTTCTTACCTTAATGTCCGATCTGACAGCGGGCAGGAAGGTGACGTCGGGACGGTGCGTGACTAAAGCATTCACCGCCCCCATGCGACGTCACAGCCAGTACAGCGCCTGCCACAGTGGGGAGTGTCGGGGTGCACAATGCACCTCCTCCCCTTGCTAGTATCCGCCCCGGAGCCGCAGCAAAGGTGTAAAAGAGCCACATGCGGCTCCGGACCCACGGGTTGCAGACCCCTGTTCTAGGTGAGCAAGGGCCATTGTTTCCCTTCAACCAGGCTATGGTCGTCTTGGTTTAATTATTTACTGGTGTTTTATCTTGTATTTTATTCTGTGGACTGCCCCAATTATAATAACAATTGTCCCAGCCCAACGATGCATTCAAGCCAGGCAAAAGCAACTAATGTGAATGTGGCCTAAAGGACGGGTGACTTGGGGAAAGTCCTGAGGGCCAAACAGAGGGGCACAGAGAGCCATACCTGGGGCCAGAGGTTCGCCACCCTTGCGATATAGAGATGCCTCCAGGAACATGCTGTGTAAAAGCCCAAGGCCTGGAAGCTGGATATCCAAAGGCTGCTGGGAGGTTGTGCCCCCCTCCCTCCTGGGCAGCAAAGGGAAGAGGCACCTGGCTGAAGACTCTTTAGTTCAAAAAGGGGTGGGAAATCTACTGCCCCTGGCCTAAGTACAAAAGCCCTCTGTAAGCAATCAGCTTAAAACTTTGGGCAAGAGCAATCTGACCCTTTCCTTGCAACTTGCTGGGGGGAGATGAAGAGGGAAGCAGGAAAAGCACAGGGGTGGGTCGGCAGAAGGAACAGGGAAAGTCAGGAAGCTGCCCACTTGCGGCCCAGATTCCAACTGCAGAAGGCAGCCCCTGACAGATTACCCCAGAAGGAGTGTGGCTGTTAGTTTACCCATCTATCTAAGAACTGTATCGGCAAGAGGAAGGTGACAAATAATTACCTGATAGAAATCGTAATTTGCTGCTTTGATGTCGAATGGGTCATCCCGGGGTGCTTGTTTCCTCCCACAGTTGCAGGTGCCAGTGGAGCGAGCTCGGCTGTTATGGTACAGGACAGGTGGGTTCCTGTCTGGTTCAGGTTTCTCCCCTAAAAAAGAGAGCCACAGAAGGAAAACTTCCATTAGTTGGTTCCTCTGACTTTTTTGCTTCTTTAAAAGCTTTGAACAACACAGAATCCAGAAACTTGAGAATCATAACCCCACTTTTTTCGGTCCAAAAAAACCACGCATTTTGGAAGTGATGCAAGCCCTTTTTATCCCGGAAAACATTTGTTGCCACAGATTTTATTCAAAAGGGTGTTTGTCATTATACTGAATATTTTGTACTTGCTTTTAATGCAGATAGGACAGATTAAAGACCCCTAAGTCTGTGTGTGTGTGTGTGTGTGTGTGTGTGTGTGTGTATCTATCCATCCATATATGTGTATATAGAAAGATGTGACATGCTGAAAGTTTCACCTTTCAATTAGGGATCCCCCACTCTGGAAGTTGAACATGTAGCAGGAAATGATTGGACAATGTTGTGAAGGTCAATGAGGGCTAGAAACCTAAAAGATTTGCAAAAAGACTCTGCCTTCCTGCCTAGTGTGATCTAGCAGGGCCCATTTCCAAACTTGTGTGAGCGTATATTAAGCGAGATGCATATGAAAACAAATCTAAAATTGGGAGCAGAGGAAGGAAGACAGTCCAGACCGTGAGCTTCTAAACCCTGAATGACCTGAACTTACCCGATTTCGGAAGCAAGTGAAATTTATGCACGCAATGCTGGTCGGTCAAGCTCCTCTCCTCGCATAGCTGGTGCCCATTGCTCCAGAACTTGTAGCAGTCTTCGTGCAACTGCAGGGCATACTTGTGAAAGGCTGGTCCCCGGGCGTGCTGGCTGTAGACCCGCAAGGCCTGGGCCAGCTGGTTCTTGTGAACAGTCATGGTATAGTTGTGGGGCAGGTTGGACTGGTAGGCACTGTGGGCCATGGGGAGGGCCTTCTGGCAGCGGTTCTCTGAGAATTTGGTGTCAATGTCCAGGTAGCCTTCCAAAACCTTGATGCTCCCCATGATTTTGGAGGTCAGCTCCCCGATGGCCGAAGATGGGTCGCTGTCCTTGCCTTCAATGGCCACTTCGTACAGCTTCAGGGCTGTGGCCACCCACTTCTGGTAGGTGGGCAGCTCAAAGTGGGAAGGCTGCGGGTTCCTCCCTACACTGTCGTCAAAGCCCTTCTTGCCCAGGACCAGCTCCACGTGCTGGAAGAGGAACTCCTTCAAGGTGCAGTCCACCAGCTGCCCTGAGGAGCTGGAACTGCTGCTGCTGCTCTCCACGTGGAAAGACAGCTGCTGTCTCCCGTGCCGCATGGCCTGGTACCTCCGAGGCCCAGCCAAGGCAGGCGCCAGCGAGGCCTCCGTCTCCCGGGTGGTGCAGTTGCTCCGCAGCTGGTCCAGCAAGACAGCAATGGGGTCGTCGCCCTCTTGCGCCCCGCCGGCCACGATGTAAACAAAAGCCTGGTTGGCCGGGACGGTGAAGAGGCAGTTGATGCTCTGGTTGGTCAAGACCCGGCTCTTGCGGAAGATGCGGTAGATCTGGTCCTCCAAGGCATGCTGGAGTCGCCGTTTGGGAGAGTGCTTCTTCGCGGGGGGCTTCTCCAGGTGCCCACAGAACTCCTGCCCCCTGCCGGGTGCGGGCTCCACCTTCAGGGCTCCGTTGAGCTGGAAGAGGAAGAGGAGGCGGGGCGGGCAAGGCCTGCAGTTGAGCTTCCAGTCCTTGCCAACGGGGCAGTCCTTGATAGCGGCCTTCAGAGAGGGCAGCACCTTCTGCCGCAAGCCGTCCAAGGCTCGGAAGACCCGGTCGTAGGTGATGTCGAAGGAGCAGGTGGGGTGGACCATGAGCAGGATGTGGCAGACGGAGAAGAGGTAGAGGAGGCTGAGGCAGTGGAGCTTCTCCTGGTGCTTCCAGAACTCGTGGGCCTCGGCGTGGGGCAGCTGGGAGCTGCCCGGGGCCAGGAGGTGAGCCCCCAAGCTGCCAGGCCCTCGGGCATCCCCCATGGCATCCAGGTCCTTGCAGGCTTGCAGAAGCTGGTGGCTGTCGCAGATGGACGTGAGGACCAGGTAGAGCACCTTGCAATCCTGGCTGTAATAGGCTTCCAGGAGGTTGTAGTCGCCCTGGGAAGAGGAGGCGGCGGAAGAGGAGGCGGAGGAGGAAGAGGAAGCGGAGGAAGAAGCCGAGGGGGAAACGGTTCCTGGGTCTGCTGCGCCGCCGCCGCCACCGCCTTGCCCTCCTGCACTATCAGTTCCTCCAGCGGAAGATCTGGCCTCGCCGCCGCGCTGGAAAAGGGGGAAGACTTGCCTGTCGCACACCGTGTTCACCAAGGCCGCCTTCTCCGAGCTGAGCTGCAAGGCGGTCTTCCCGAAGATCCCCACCACGCAGACCTCTTCTTCCTCCCCCGGGGTAACTACCCCGGGGCCGCTACTGCTGCTGCTAGTGGTAGGAGCAGCGGGGGCGGCAGCGGCAGCAGGAGCAGCGGCTGCAGTGCTGGCGGCAGGGGTGGCGGCAGCAATGCCAGCGCTGCTGCTGCTGCTTCCCTGCTCCGCTCCAGCCAGCAGCAACTCATGCAAGCCCACGGGGCCTTGCACCGCCGTCGCGCCCACCATCCTCGCCTTTTGCAACGGGACCGCGAGCCTCCTGGCAGGGCTGTTTTGTCGCCCCCCGGGAGCAGCCGCCGCCCGAAGCCCGGGAAGCACGAAGGAAGAAACTGCGCAGGCGCGGGGAGGAAAAAGAACGCGATATGTGTCGAAGCAGCAGCCAATAAGCCGCCGCGGCTGGAAAGGCCTTCTGCGAACGTAGAGATGGGAAAAAGTGAAGAGGGACACTCCCAGCGTCGGAAGGCGAGATTTCCCCTGTTTTTTCCACACCCCACCCCTTCGTTTTGTCAGGTTGCACCCTAGGAAGGCTTACTAGGTATCTAGTAAGGTACCTAGACTGCATCATTCCACACCACTGAACGTGTTGACAGGGGTTAATGGAATAATAATAATGGAATAATAATGGAATAATAATGGAATAATAATAATGATGGAATAATAATAATAATAATAATGGAATAATAATAATAATAATAATAATAATAATAATAAATGGAAGGGACCCAAAGGGTCATCTGGCCCAACCCCCTTGCAATGCGGGGTTGATGGGAGCTGCAGCCCAGCTACCTTTTATTCAAATATGTGTAGCCTGCATTTTTGGTTAAAATAAATAAATAACAGCAATATTCGCTTGCACGTCTTGGTTTTCGCGAGGTGAGGACGGGGACCCAGGATTCCGTCCCCAAGCACCCTCCCAAATCCTGCTGCCAATCCAGCAGGCAGGAGACAAAGGGGAAAAAAAGGTCTGCAAAGTCAAGCCAGAAGGTGGAAACGTTGTGAGAGTCTGCTTTTAAAGTCTATGTTTGAAACAAGTCAGGGCAGGGAGGCGAAGGACTCTTTCCTTGCACATGCTCAGACATCACTATGAAGCCGCTGTGTCCCGGAACTGCCCTTCCTCTTTCTGCGATCCTCCGAATGGAGCACGTGACCTGCTACAGGCAGGGTGTTGCTGTCAGCGTACGCCCTTCTAAGTCAACGTGCACAGGATTGGGCCCTTAAGCATTGCACAGGTGTATAGCCTTGCGCAGCTTTTCATATGCTAACAACATATGATCTAAATTCCATGAATTCCCCTCTTATTTCTCCCCACGCACCTGTTGACAGATGCAGATGTGTGCTCGACGATTGTCATTAAAGTTATTTTTAAGAGCAGGGCTGGGGAACCTGTGACCCTCCGGAAGTTGCTGAACTCCAACTCCCATCAGTCCCAGCTAGCATGGCCAATGGTCAGGGATGATGGCAGTTGTAGTCAAACACCTAGAGCGCTACAGTTCACCTTCTTAGAAGCAAGACAGAAAGGTCCGAAGACGGTGGATAGGGGACAGGCTACGTATCTTGCCCACACTGAGCAAAAAGGTATAACTCTGCACGATCTGCAGTACAGCAGCTAGGTTCCAACTCCCAACCATTTATCAATAACAAGTAAAGTAGTTCTCCAGCACAGATTGCCTTATGACAAATGCCTATCAAACTCCATGATTCTCTCCTGTAAGAATATAAATATGTATCTGTTGCTTTTCACCATATCTTTTGTGTCGCTATACTGGCTACCTTTAATGTTGTGTGTTTAAATCAGTGAGCTGTCATAACTCAAGTGCAGATCGGCACAGAGCAGGCATCCCCAAACTCTGCTCTCCAGATGTTTTGGGACTACAACTCCCATCATCCCTAGCTAACAGGACCAGTGGTAAGGGATGATGGGAACTGTAGTCCCAAAACATCTGGAGGGCAGAGTTTGGGGTATGCCAATGGATAACAGTAGATAAGCAACGCTCACCTGATCCAAGCCATCAATTTACATGTGGCTCTGGTTAGCGGATCCCACAAATCTAAAAGTTTGCTTATCTCTTATGTAGGCAGCAGCCCATTATCCACTATTTGGGTATAGCACATAGGAAGTGCTGACTCTGTAAACGCACAAGACGTAACCGGCTGTACTTTTGAATAAATAAGGTATACTATTCATTGTATCGAATTGTAGATTTCAACGGAAGTCTCATAAAGTTTACTGCAATCACTACTATGCTATAAAATCCACTATTCTGTAATATTACATATGAGCCTGCTCTACTGATGAAGCCTGGGATGGCAAAACAAGGCTAATATTCCGGAAATCCTTGTCTTAGACTCTGTGAAAGGATTCTGTGGAACGGAAACAACCCTTCATGTGGACTATTGGACTCTTTGAACAGACAGGTGGAATAGATACTTTTACATGTATGGACCTTATGCATGAACTGACTAGAGAATGAACTGATCCACTGGGTCTTCTGCTTTTTTCATTGTATTGTAGATTTCAACAGAAGTCTCATAAAGTTCAATGAATAGTATACCTTATTTATTCAAAAGTACAGCCGGTTACGTCTTGTGTGTTTATTGAGTATGTTTCACGTAACCATAGGTTTGTTGTTGTCCTGCTGACTCTGACCACACATTAGTCAGCCAACTCAGCATCCTCTTCACTGACTGGCAGCAGCTCTCCAGGTTTGAGGCTAAAATTCCTCTCTCTCCCCCCCCCCCATCTATCTGGAGATACTGGGGACTGAACATGGGACCTTCTGCATTGCAGCGCTGATTGCTTTACCACCGAGCTACAGCCATTTCTTGAAGCATACATCAACCATGTAATTGGACTACCAGGTGTCGTTGGCTACCACTTAATACATTTCTGATGAGACCCATCATCTTGAACAATAATAAAACACTATTTTCCAAAGAGAACATGAATGAGGAACAGAACAAGAAAGCCAGCAGATTGCCATATTCTTTTTTTATTGAACTGATTTCAGTCCGCGCTGCTTTACAATATTTAGTTTCAAGTTGCTCCAAATTGTGCCACAGGTAGCTACAGAAGCTATTTGTCTTTGAAATGTGCAGGAGGTAAGCAGCAAAGCGATTGAATTGACACACGTAACAAACAGCAATAAAATGAGTAATGGGTAAGAAACGGATGCAGAAACATAGTGTAAACTTGTAAATAACTGTAACTAGGTGAGCTGGGTTACAGCTGTATAATGCAGCATGCATATGTAGACGTGTACATTTAGGACCACTTTAGCCTACTGGCCATCTCTACCTTAGCATAAAAGGTTCAATCTTTTTTCTGGAATGCTCCATGTTTCAGATGGACAGTCTGAAGGGTGTCTGTTTACTCTGCAGCAGAGCTGGGGAGCCTATGATCCTCCTGGTGTCACTAGACTCAAACTCCCTTCATCCACAGGCAGCTTAACCAATGGTCTGGAATGATGGGTGTTGTAGTCCAACACTGTCTGGCAGGACCACAGGGTCCAGATCCTTGTTCTACGAAGCTACACACACACACACACACACACACACTTTTTTAAAAAGCTTATCCCTGGGAACTTTTGAGGGTGCTCTTAAGAGGCCCCATCCTTGCACAGATGAACAATCTCCAAGATTCCAAGCTACAGAATAATGTATCATAGGCATATCAGGAGAAAACTGGCGCCATTTGTCCCAGGGCACTTCAACAACGCGCATATGCTCACAATATCCTTTCAAAACACTAAGACCACATTCTACAGCATACATTTAAACAACATTGCTTCTCACAAATAATCTTGGGAACTGTACTACTGGGAACAAAAGCTCTGTGGGGGTATACTACAATTCCCAGAATTCTTTGTGTTTTTTTCGGCAGGGGAGCACCTGTGCTTTACATGTATGGTGTGGATCTAACCCAACTGCATCTAAAGGAGACCAAGAGTTGGTTACCACAGCGTCTGAATTGAAAGGATTGCTATCTAGTTAAGGCATTTCCTTCCATTGCACTGCCAAGGCAATTTGATGCTGGCGCCCTTTTGAGCTGCTCATGGGTTTGATGCAAAAGCAGCATGTCAACGGCCCTGGAAAACCAATGAGATGAAGCTTCCTTTCTGGTCCTGCAAATTTACTTTGCCTTTTAATGCACTTGCAAGCAGACTCGAGGCAAATTCTTCAGATTGCCAATACAGCTTTTTAGATGAGCTGCTGTGGCTTTTTCAATAGCTTTCCTCTGTTCGATGAATCTCCAGTTAAACAAGTTCTGGAGTTATTCAAAACCCAGTCTGACTGAAGAGAGCAGGACCTATGAGAAGTCTGTACCCCAGAGAAAAGCATCATCATCAGCACTTTGAAAACAATAGCTGTCATCTTCAACCAGAACCTAGTCTCCATCTTACAGATACAATCTGTACATAATGGTACACTCTGTAAATAGCTCTAGGTGCTACTCACATTGTTTAAGGAGTGTTTGAATGACCAGCCGATGATTCCAACCTCTTCCGCCATGGCAGAACCTCATTGCCTCTCAGCAGACCAAGAGGGTGTCAGGAACGACTCAGCATGCATCAGGATCTCAAACCAGAAGCAAAAACCTCATTTGAGGTTTGCTGAACATTCAGCCTCTTCCGGTACAAAGGCATGTTAGACTTCCTCTGCAATTCACTTTTCCCCCTCAGAGAAAGGGGCATTTTCCCTTATTGAGGAAAACATATACTTTCCCCTCTAGGAGAAGGTAAAAAGGTATTCTTCATTATGGAGAAAACATACACAAATTCATGTGTACACATCCACTTTAGATGAAATTTCCAAAATTAACTGCCACCCTTCTGAATTTTAAGAACTTGGGAGTTTCTTTAAATGTTACTCTCCCCAAATCTTTTTAAAAAATAGTAAATACTTTAAATATATATATATAAACGTTTCAAGTAAGTTACAAATAAAACAAGGTTAGGAATGCCCAATTCCCCATGCAGGTATTTTATATCCTAAAGGTGCTTTATAGTGATAACCTCATATTTGCCAGTATGGTGTTAAACAAGGAGAGATGCTCTCTGGATGCTGCTGGGAATTGTAGTTCAACAAATCTAGAGAGCCACAACTTCTCTATCTCTGCCATAAAGGAATAAAAATCAGCATGTAGGCTGGGGAAGAAAAATACTTATACTGTCTCTCCATTGTGTGTTTCACCTGGGGATGGTGAGTTCTGTTCTAAAGGACGGTGAAGATCATCCTTTCTTTTCCCCTCCCTGCTCCCAGTGTATTTTATTGAAAAATAAATTCCTTCCACATTAGTAGTGCCGATCAGCAGAGTCCAGAAAACCAGCACGGGGAACTGCAGGCAGGCAGGAGATGCTAACTTTGCTCCTCAAAGCTGCTTCCTTTAGGCAACAGGGATGGAGAAGGACTCTTTGGGTGAGCCAACTGTCAAGAAAAGAGAGAGAGAGGTTTCAACTTTTCCTTCTGGCTGCAACTTCAGTTTTTGCGCCGTTCTGCCCACGCTTCCTAAAGGCACTTCCTCTCCTCAGGCTGGACTCCTCACCTCACCCCCTCCCTCAAGTTCTTTTGTACAGATGCAGAATGCATGTTGATTGTAGCAACACCTCTTGCTTGGGCTGGGGGAGGATGGGGAGGGGTGCGCGCGAGTGTGCACAGGCAACCCCGCATTTACACGCGTTCAATATGTGAAAGCGCATTACGCTGAACCCAGAAGTGACCCGAAAACGTCACAAAAAGGAGCGGAACAGGAAGGGGTGGGGTGGGAGAAGCGCTGCTTGCAGGTTTTTTCAATGCCGTTTCAAATCCCGTATTTTTCACTCTATAAGACGCACCCGACCATAAGACGCACCTAGTTTTTAGAGGAGGAAAACAAGAAAAGCCAGCAGACACGCTTGCTTGGCGCAGCTCTTTAAAGATAGAGTGGCTCTTGCTGGCTTTTCCGGGAGGTGGGAGAAGGGACTGATGGGCTGCCCTCCATCCCTTCTCCCACCTCCCTGAAAAGCCAGAGCAAGCTGCGCAGCTATCGTTGAATCCGGCAGAGCAAGAGGGAGAGCTGTGCAGCGGCTCTTGCTCTGCTGGTTTCCCAGCGAAGCAGGATGAGGGACGGAAGGAGCTCGATGTAAGGGCTCCCTTCCGTTCCTCCTCCTGCTTCGCTGGGAAGCCAGCAGACCAAAAGGCGCTGCGCAGCTCTCCCTCTTGCTCTGTTGGCTTCAGCGATAGCTGCGCAGCCTGCATTCGCTCCATAAGACGCACACACATTTCCTCTTACTTTTTAGGAGGAAAAAGTGCATCTTATGGAGCGAAAAATACGGTATTCACTTAAACATGGGGTGCCTCGGAACATAACCCCTGCGCAGATGGGGGTTGCCTCTGTGTGTGTGTGTGTGTGTATACACACAAGCACACAGACACACACATATACAGACATGCAAAAAACCTCTGTCTTTTGCAGTTGGAATGTAGACTAGTGTGCAAAAGTACAAGTCACACATCCATTGCTCCTCCCAATTTTGCCCTTAGCCCCACCCACCCCGGCACATGGCCTGCGGAAGGTTTCCCCCGCAAGGGATATGTGGCCCTTATGGGGACGAGGTTCCCCACCCCTGACTTGGGAAGATGGAACTGTGTGTTTGAAGCCCCCTTTCAACACGTGGTTTGCCAACCCAACAGAGATCCCTAGAGAGCCTTGCCTGAAACTTGCGCCGCAGAGCCTGGGTCATGATGGGTGTAAGTCCTGTGCCAGTCTCCATGTTCTCTTTGTTGCTTAACGGGGTTCCACCTGGGCTCCTGGGGCGGGGGAAGGGGAGGGGGAAAAGGTACACGGTCTATGCTGGGAGCCATAAACTTGTGTTTCGGTTAACTGGATTCATGTTTCGCTTCTCAGAGTGACATATCCTAAAGCAACTTACAGGAATAATAAAATGCTTTCATAAAAATATGTCAAAGACACAGAGGGAAAGCCTCCATTTATTGGTTCTGCCCAAATGCCTGAGGAAAGAAATAATGCCTTTGCCTGGTGCTGATGTGATGACAAGGTTGGCAACAGGTGGGTCTCCCCTGGGGAGACCATGCTACAAAATGGGGGCTACCACAGACAAGGCCCTGCTCTCTCATTGTCCTCACCCCGGAACTCCCTCAAATGATGACCTTGGGGTCTGGGCAGGATCATATGGTGAGCTAAAATAAAGGGAAAAAGGGGTAGAATGACCCCCACTTCCCTATATATATGGTTACCTCTCAATAGCGACTTTTCTCAAGTGTTTCCGGAAATCTAAGCTGCTTCTGCTAGGAGTGCTGGAGGGGGAAAAGAAGAGCAAACATGAAAATTGAAATACAGATTTCCTAAGTGGACCAACGTTAACGCTGCACATAAAATTTGCAGAAAGGTCAGAGGTGCCTTACATCAAGTGACTGGTAACCCGAGCTTGTGGTCCTGGGGCTTTGGATTTCAGATTGATGCTTTGCAAGTCGGAGAGGGTGATTAATGCCTTGCGCCTCTCAAACGGCGATCTCCTCTGAAGAAAAGAAAGACTTGTTACTGCACCATACCTTCTGAAAGAAGCTTCAACACAGGGCCTTTGTGAGGAATTTTATCAGGGGGGCACAAAAATTTTCTTGGGCCCTTTCCCTTCTCCATTATTCTTGTTTTTATCCTCTAAATCAGGGGTCGGCAAGGTTTATCTTGCCTGGGCTGGATCGGTCCCACGGAGATCCATCCGTGGGCTGGATCGCGCCTGCCTGCAATTTCCGCCGTCTGCGCAGATGTGATTTCCAGCGCCATGAAAGCAAGTTCCTGTGCCATGCTGTGGCGGTTTAGCGCAGTGAGCAAGCAGGTGGCTCGGTTCGGGGGCAGCTTGTGGGCCGGTCAAAAAACCTCCGCAGGCTGCTTCTGATCCATGGGCCTTAGGTTGGTGACCCCTACTCTAAATAAACCCTACCAATATCTCTACCCAACCCCCATTCCCTTGAAGTTCGGACATAACCTTAAATAGCTTAAATTGCTGGTGACTTCAGGAAAGTAGGAAATTAACTGCTTGTTGAAGTCTGGGGATGTTATTTTATTTTATTTCTTACTTGCTATTCAAAATACGGTGGTACCTCTAGATGCAAACGGGATCCGTTCCGGAGCCCCGTTCGCATCTAGAAGCAAACGTAACCCGTGTCTGTGCGTCTGCGGGTCACATTTCGGCGCTTCTGCACATGCGCGTGACATCATTTTGAGCGTCTGTGCATGCACAAGCGGCGAAAGCCGGAAGTAATGCGCTCCGTTACTTCCGGGTTGCCATGGAGCGCAATTCGAACGCGCTCATCCTGAAGCACATTCAACCCGAGGTATGACTTTAATTTATTCCCCTACCTGGAGAGGGACCTTTGTTCTTCATGCTATGGTAACCTCTAGGTTAGATTACTGCAATGTATTATACGTGGAGCTGCCTTTGAAGACTGTCCAGAAACTGCAGTTGAGGCCAAATTCAGGGGCCTGACAGGGCAAGGCAGTCTGAGGCTGAAATGCCAGCCCCGGCCCAATTGCATCAGCTACCAATTAGCTTTTGGGTTCAATTGAAAGTGGTGTTTTGTGTGTTTCTGTATTTTCAAAGCTTTATTTTTGTTTTAACTTAAGTATCGTAAAGAGTCATACAAGTTGCTGCATTTTTGGTTACAGCCAAAGAAGAAATGATGTTAAAGATGTATGTCTTTTTACAAATCAGATAAATAATCAAAATGGTTTTATACAACTACAAAGATAGCTTTCTTAACTCATGGAAATGACTCAAAAGTGCACAAACATAATTAAGTTATTGATGAAAATCAAATCTATTTGTCTGGTCTAACCCACTATCATATTGTTTTTATTACACTCTCCCAAGATAAACTGGATCTTCGAATTTTTAAAAATTTTGTTTAAAGATGTTCTGCAAATGCTTTTGAAACTTATTTTGTAATAGAAAATCAATGAAAATCAATAAAAATTAAATTTGGAAAAAGAAACTACACAAATGCATAGCTAACTACAAAAACCTGATTCAAACTCTCAGATTTATAAAACAGCAAACAACCATACAATAAACCTTCCTTTTGAGCTCAAATAATTCCCTTTGTTACTAATCAAATGGCTGGTTTTGACCTATAAAGCCTTATGCAGCTCAGTCCCCCCAATACACCAAGGGCCACTTTCCCCCGTATGAATCAACCTGGACACTGATTTGTTTAGTTTTGGCCAATATTGTATCCCCTTCTGCTTGGCCCAATTTCACTCGGGTCCCATTCATTATGCTATTTAATCAGTGCTTGAAAGTGGACCGTTTTCTGCAGATAATTTTGTTTGTTACTGACACCATCACAATACCACACCTGTCCAGGTTACCGTAGCCTAGGAGTCCTTCGCAATACCAATCTGATACAGTGGCCGATCATCAGACAGCAGGGCCCAAACAGCTCAGCTCAGAGCATTTAACACAAAATGTGAAGCACATTTAATACGCCTTTCCGAATTTACCTTGTCTATCCCCATGCCGCTTTGGGCCTTCTTTAGTTTCACATTTAGGAGGTCCTGGAGTGTTATCTGCATGGGTACGTCTTTTTTTAAAGAGGCTGCCTGGATCCAAGAAGGAAGTGGACAGAAAAGAGGTTCAGAATCCACAGCTCTCTCAACGACACTGACCAACAAAGTCTCCGACTCAATATCCTTCAGCTCCTCCTGAAATCCTACAGGAATTAAATTTCTACCCCACTCTTCTGTCTAAAGGGGCTCAGGGTGGGAAGCAGTGAAATGCTACATAAAAATAAAATACATAGTTAGATATCTGTACGGCAATATTCATTAAAAAAAACCCAAGCTATCTACAGCAATCGTACATACAATAATAAAAAAAGATGTAAAAACTGAGAATTGGAGATCAGCTAACTACTGTATTGCGATTAACGTATGTTCTTAATTGTCTGCATAAGCTTGGAAGCATTTACCTTTGCTCACCTCTAGTTCTGCCTACCATTGGCAAGCGGCCCTTGGGAGGCTGCCCAGGGAGGAATGCGGCCCCCAGGCTGAAAATGGGTTTCCCATCCCTGGATTGCTCCCACCAACCCATATGCTACTAGCAGGCAAGAGACTGAAATGGACAAGACCCCAATTGGAGGAGTTAAGAGGAACTCTCACTGCCATACACATTACCGGCGTCTTAATGCCATCAGATCTTCTGAGATGGAGAGGTGCAGGTAGAGGCTGGGGCGGAGGAGGTGGGGGAGGCGGAGGGGGTGGGGGAGGTGGGGGAGCCAAGGGCTGTGGAGGCAAAGATTCTGGAAGGCCCAGCTGCGCATGCGCGGGAAAAGCTGGCTCCGGTTTCTCCAACTGCATCTGGCAAGGCGGCTTTTCCGAGAAAGGCACAACAGTTCCATTCTGTTGAAAGAGGGAGAAATCAGCGAGGGGGATTCAATTCAGCACATAGAGGCGAAAGATTTATACGATCTGAAGAGAAACCATATATATTAATGTTATATAGTTGGGCATTGTAGTATGAATGAATTTTGTTCTGTATTCTTTGTTTTACAGAATATATATAATAATGTTATGTTACTAAGCAAATTTAATAAAACAGAAAAAGAGGGGGGGGGAGCACATAGAGGCAAAAACTGAAGTCTCATCAGCTGGAAATGTTAATCCAAAACCTTGTGTAAAGCCACAGAGACTTATGAACTACCCAGCTTAAGATGAACTTCAATGGATTTTTCAAATGTTTAACTCAGTCTTTTGTTTTCTTTAACTTTTAGGTGAGTTCATGAAGATACCAGCAAAGGATAAGTTCGGTGTTGTTCACAATACTGAGAGATGCTAGTGAAGCTGTAGATGGATGTTAGTGAAGTTGTAGACAGAGTGCCGGCGTTTTGCACCTGTTTCGCCCTGGCATTGAAACCAGACATTATAAGTGTTATGTACTGAAGTTCTCACCCTGGGCCAGCAGGGGATACTGTAGATAGTTTTCACTCAGGTCCACATATGCAAATAAGGAATTGAAAGTGACGTTCAGTGATTGGATAGTTACAGAAAGTTGTTGCTGTTACATTGTAGTGGAGCTCTATATAAGCAGGCTGGCTGAACCCTTCAGTTCAGTTCAGTTCTGGCCTGTGAATAAACAAGAGCTGTCTGAAGAATCACTGTGTCGTCTGATATGTTCACCCACAACTTAACAATAAGTTCATAAGTTGATGGTGTTTCCTGCTTGGCAGGGGGTTGGACTCGATGGCCCTTGTGGTCTATTCCAACTCTATGATTCTATGATTCATCTTAAGTTGGGTAGTTCATAAGTCTCTGTGGCTTCACACAAGGTTTCGTATTTTGCTCAGAAGATTGATAAAGAATGTATAATTATTTTGGCAATTATTGTTTCTATATTAGTCACCAACGTGTTGCATGAGTCGTACTACACAGGTTGCATTTTTCTAGCAGGAAATGTTAATCCGGCAGTAAGGCACCAGAGCGGCCAGGTTGTCAACTCAATTATGGGATGCAAGCTCTTATGCTCCAACTTTTCATTTTGGAAGTTTACTAAACCACATTAGTGCACACACCCAACACACACTCCTAACTCCCAGTTACAATATACAGTGGTGCCTCGCAAGACGAAATTAATTCGTTCCGCAAGTTTTTTCTTCTTGCGAGTTTTTCGTCTTGCGATGCACGGTTTCCCATAGGAATGCATTGAAAATCAATTAATGCGTTCCTATGGAAACCGACTTCGGACCAGGTCCGGGGACAGTCTGTCCCCCGACCTCTTCTGAAGGCTGGGGGGGGCAAGGGCTTTTCTTCCCACCCACCCCCCAGCATTTTAAAAAACCCCGGGACAGCGGAGGGCTTCTCCGCTGTCCGGGGCGATCTTAAAATGCTGGCAGGCGGCATTTTAAAATCGCCCCGGGACAGCGGAGGACTTCTCCGCTGTCCGGGGCGATTTAAAAGCCCCTGGGAAGGCAGGCAGGGGGGACAAAGCACATTTGCCCCCCGTCCAGCCTTCAGACGAGGTCCCGGACCTCCTTCTGCAGGCGGCGGGCGGGAGGCGAAAGTCCTTTTGCCTCCCCCCGCCTGCCTATCAAAAGCCGGTGCGGGGACAGGAAAGCCAGGAGAAGCCGTGCAAGCCCTTTTAGAACGTGCGCGGCGGCTTCGCCGGTTTTGCGGGAGGTGGGGGAATTCCCCCACCTCCCAGAAGAAGCCAGGAAAGCCCTGCGCAGTGTCGTCCGGCAAAGGAGGAGGCTGCACGGGGGCCTAAAAGGGGAAGGCAAAACTGCGAGCGGTGATCCCATGCCCGCCGCGTGCTTGGCCTTCTTCCATAGCTGCGCGCAACCCCTCCGCAAGGAGAGGGCTGCCCGCGGGGCTAAAAGGGGAGAAGGCAAAAGACAGCCGAGCGGGATCCATCCGCTCGCTGCCTTGCCTTCTTCCATAGCTGCGCGCAACCCCTCCGCAAAGGAGAGGCTGCGCGGGGCTAAAGGGGAAGGCAAAACAGCGAGCGGGATCCATCCCGCTCGCTGCTTGCCTTCTTCCATAGCTGCGCGCAACCCCTCCGCAAGGAGAGGCTGCGCGGGGCTAAAGGGGAAGGCAAACAGCGAGCGGGATCCATCCTCGCTCGCTGCCTTGCCTTCTTCCATAGCTGCGCGCAACCCCTCCGCAAGGAGAGGCTGCACGTTTCTCCGCTCTCCCGGGAAGGCAGGCAGGGGGGAGCAAAGACTTTCGCCCCCCGCCCGCCTTCAGAAGAGGTCCAGGACCTCTTCTGAAGGCAGGCGGGGGGCGAAAGTCTTTGCTCCCCCCCCCCGCCTGCCTTCAAAAGCCCTCCGGGACAGCGGAGAACAGGAAGGCAGGCAGGGGGGAACAAAGACTTTCGCCCCCCGCCTGCCTTCAGAAGACCTCCAGGACCTCTTCTGAAGGCGGGAGGGGGGCGAAAGTCTTTGCTCCCCCCGCCTGCCTTCAAAAGCCCTCCGGCACAGCGGAGAAACGCGCCGCCCGGGGCGATTTTAAACCCGCTGTCCCGGGTTTTTTTAAATGCTGCTGGGCGGCAGCGCTGCCACCCGGCAGCATTTTAAAATCGCCCCGGACAGCGGAGAAGTCCCCCGCTGTCCCGGGGTTTTTAAAAAACCTCTCCGCCCCACGCCAGGCTTCGGAGCAGCCTTCCGAAGCCTGGCGGCGGGAGGAGGTCCGAGGACAGTGGGGAAGATGCGCTGCGCTTCCCCGCTGTCCCGGAGATTTCCCTATGGGCTTTCGTCTTGCGAAGGAAGCCCATAGGGAAATTCGTTTTGCGAAGTGCCTCCAAAACGGAAAACCCTTTCGTCTAGCGGGTTTCCCGTCTTGCGAGGCGTTCGTCTTGCGGGGCACCACTGTATGTTTCCTCTTATTTATTTCATAAAACGTCTATGCCACGTGATTGTAACCCCCCCTCAGATAATCTTAAAGCGGTTTCTATCACACAATTGAATTTCGGCTACTTATATTTTAATGCTTGTACATTGTATCTGAATATTAAGCAGTATATATAAATAACTGAAATAGCTGATTTTTATACCCATAAGCTACTTGGAAGCCTATTATGGAATTAAGTAGTACATAGATTAATTTTAAAGTAATTATTATCTACATTTTACAAACCACAACAAATTGGACTCATCCCCAGCTATTTGCCTGCGGCAAAGAAATAACATTAAAGACAAAGTTGCCACCCCTCCACGCAGGTAAAAGTCTTGCCAATGGTTTGGGCTTCAAGGATCCTGTTTCCAAAGTAGGAATGTCAGGAAGCAAATCAGTTCATTACAATATACCAGAAGCTGGCCGGAGGCGGCAGATTGGATTGCTACAAACTTTGTAAAAAGTACGACTTACCTTGACCAGCAACTGTAGGCTGGCAAATTCAGTTTCCAGCTTTTCTAACCGTTCCCGGAGTGCAGCCAACTCCTGCAGACGCGTGTTTGATGGAGACACAATTTTTTTGACGACTTGAAAGAACTGGGAGAAAAGAAGCAAGAGAAACTGATTTTATACAGAGCTAGGCATAAGCCCGATGTATATGCACACTTGGCAGCAGAAAAAAAGCCAACACCCCGGACCAACGCAGTGGGGGAGAGGACACAGGAGGGCCATTTTCCTTGGGTTCCACGTTTAAAAGGGGGCTCTGTTAGGTTGTGGGTGAACATAGCAGACGACACAGCAATTCTTCAAACAGCTCTTGTTTATTCACAGGCCAGAACAGAACTGAACTGAAGGGTTCAGCCAGCCTGCTTATATAGAGCTCCACTAGAACGCAGCAGTAACCACTTTCTGTAACTATCCAATCACTGAAGTCACTTTCAATCCCTTATTTGCATATGTGGACCTGAGTGAAAACGATCTACAGTATCCCCCTGCTGGCCCGGCGGAGAACTTCAGTATATAACAGACTCAGATTTAGTTTTTTTCACATTTAATTTTTGGAGGCAATTTGTTTCGATGTGCATGCGACTCTCAGCTTAGTGCTGCAAATTTGAGCAGGTAAGAGACATGATTTGATGAGACATCGTTTTTCTTAAGCTATACAGAGTTTAAAATGTTCATAAATATGAATAAAAATATATCCGGTCATTATTTTTTCATTTTGGCTGGGGGTGAGCCTAAAAGCAGGAAGTGGGCCTTTGACTGCCAACATGCTAGTGGTTGCTTGAAATGAAAAGCCATTTCCACAGAGAAAAAGGGAGTCTAAAATTCTTGCTACAATCATCACGCTGGATTTTAAAACCTGTGACCAGGATCCCAGGAAAGAAAGGGTGACAGGTGAAGGAAACCTCAGAGCCCATCCAGATAACTTAAGACGACACCTCATTGATCAATCAAGATGTTTGTCTGGTCCAACAGCCCCACACCTGATGTCCTGCCAACAGCAGTCTTACCCCAGTACTTCCTGGATGTGTTGAGGATCAAAAGTGGGAGTCGTTGTTTGCAAACTGATGCTCTCCCACTAAGTTGCATTCCCTGTGTCTAAGTTTGTTACTGTAGATTCTGAATGGCAATGAGGAGTCATCCTTTCTAGCGCTGCTTTTCAGGATCCCTTGAGCTGGTGGTGTCACAGATTGAACCCAGTACTTTTACTCATGTGAAGCCTGGGATCCACCAGCGAGCATGGGGTGGCTCAGCCCCTCCTAGGCTGAACACCCTCCTCCCAAAACATCCACATTAAACTGGGTGCCAAGATTAGACACTCTCGCTCTCTTCCATTCTGCACTGAGTAGGGGTTCAAAGAATGTCTCTTTGCGAGCCAGTGCAATGGGGGGGGGGTTAAAGTCCCCCACATTGATAGGTGGGGTATCCTGGCACAATTTCCTGCCTTTGTCACTTTTTCTGTTCTTTTAGATGTGGCAGCCATTCTATGTCATGCTGCACCTCCATTTCGTTACGGTCACTCATCATGCACTCTCTTAATTCCACATGTGCCCTCCAGCTCAAACAGACAAAGCTGGTGCCGCTACAGTTTTCAGTATTCTAAATAAAAAGATAACATGAACAAAAACTTACCCGTCCAACACTTTTCTGGCACCACCTGTACAGACACAACCCTGCGGTCAGTAAAGCCTTCACTACTGCAATGCTCAGAAATGTCAAGGGCCATGAGTAAAGAGGTTTGCTCCAGCTGCAGGGTGAAACCAGAAGCCTACCAAAGACAAACACCAAATCAAAATCTTAAAAAGGTGACCTTCATGGATGGTTCCTATTGTCTTTGGCACAGAAAACCTCCTCATTCCCATAGGCTTCCATTACTAGAACAAGCAGTGCATGAGCATTACAATTATATTGTTGTAGATTTGAGAGCGGGGGAAATTAATTAGAAATTAATAAATGGTAGGATTTTCATTATTTGGGATATGAAGGGGAAATACAAGCTGCAGATGAATTCCTGTGCAAGCCTATGCAAAATGACCTGGCCAAGAAAAAATATAGGGCCATTGGCAATGCAAGATAACTGTCCTCCCCTCTTGCCCTGAGGTGTGAACACAGATGGGGGTTTGGTAGGTTGCCAGGGTAACTGGGTGTGAGGTGACAGGAAAAAAATATTGAGCAAGGGTTGCTGAGGAGAAGAAGAAGAAGATGGAAGATGGACTGGGATCCATCTTGGGCAGGCTGGCTGCAGGGCTGACTGGGAGAGATGCCTTTGACTCCAGGGCTGCACTGCTGTGGGGTACAAGCCCCTCTTGAAATGGCTATGCTGTAAGATCTGGACTCCCTCCATGCAGACTGAAGGTGTGAATAGGTGAATAAACCATATTTCTTAAAGCTACTACAGTCTCCACATACCCTAGGTGAGTTCCTGGAACCCCTTGAGCTCTTGCCACCACTTGGCAGAGAGAGGGGGAGGCACCCAACTTTCGCAACAATTTTATATGCAGTTTATTACTTTCTTGCTACATAAATGGTCTCGGTCACTTTCAATGGTTTGAAAACAAGGCAACTGTGATGACTAGTCATAGAAAGAACACTGAACAGAAAAATTAAAAGATCAAAGGTGCTTACTTTGGAGGGAGAGAACTTGAACACTGAGGCTGAATGATAACTTCCTTCCTGTTTGCTAAACGCTTTGCTCTGGCTCTCAGTTTCCGACGCCGTTGACTGTCCTTGCCCATTTTCTCTAACTTAGACTTCAGGCTAAATCATATCCCTGTTAGATGTCCTTGATTTGAAGCTTTGTTTGAAGGGGACAAATGAGTAACAGGAATCCTGCCATACCCTTTAAAAAAAAAAGACAGCTTTTTTTAAAAGACCAAGCGTAGATCTTAAATATGTAGGTGTTGCCAGCTGGAACATCATGCTCAAGAAGCACCCATACAAACCAACAACCACCCACCACAGATGTAAATATTGCCATTGTCCAAGTGTTGAGTTTTCAGGGATTCTGCACACTGAAACAGATTTTGATTTCCTTTGGAATAAGATCACTGGAGGCGTACTGATCTCTTGTAATATCTGCATTCATTTTACACACTGTGGAAAAGATGAAGGGAGCCAAGCAGGCAAGGCAGCCAAAATCACATCCTGCTCCAGTTGATCTATCCTCTCCACACCCACAGGGCCAACTTTACGTTGTATTTCATCTGACTGAGCATCTTAAAACTGTAAACTGTCTTGGGCATATTGCAGAAAGGCAACATAAAAATTAAGCACAGTAAACAAGAAGAAAGAAAAGCGATGATAAACCTAGACAACATCTTAAAAAGCAGAGGCATCACCTTGCCAACAAAGGCCCGTATAGTAAAAGCTATGGTTTTCCCAGTAGTGATGTATGGAAGTGAGAGCTGGACCATAAAGAAGGCTGATCGCCGAAGAATTGATGCTTTTGAATTCTGGTGCTGGAGGAGACTCTTGAGAGTCCCATGGACTGCAAGAAGATCAAACCGATCTTAAGGAAATCAGCCCTGAGTGCTCACTGGAAGGACAGATTGTAAAGCTGAGGCTCCAAGACTTTGGCCACCTCATGAGAAGAGAGGACTCCCTGGAAAAGACCCTGATGTTGGGAAAGATGGAGGGCACAAGGAGAAGGGGACGACAGAGGACAAGATGGTTGGACAGTGTTCTCGAAGCTACCAGCATGAGTTTGACCAAACTGCGGGAGGCAGTGGAAGACAGGAGTGCCTGGCGTGCTCTGGTCCAGGGGGTCACGAAGAGTCGGACACGACTAAACAACAAACAAGCAGAAGCTCAGCTGAAATATGGGGTCCTCCCCACTCTTGTTGAGGCTGCGGGCGCATATGGAAATCTAAGAAACTCTCTTAGGGGGCACAGAAGTACCCATTTCACAGAAGAAAAAATGGCAATGTTCCTCAGCAGACAGGAAAAACACCTGACTCCCAACCCAATAAAGCCAGAAAGAAGCAGGTGGTTCCCGCAAAGCAGAATACTTACGAGCGCTCTCATTCCATCTCCTAATTCTTCATATCTTAAATAAAACCCCTACATTAAAAAACCAAAATTCCGCCCTTCTTGACACATGCCAACATTTCCTTGCCACGCCCAACATTTCAAACTGATAGCAGCCTGCGCCACAGCCAATCACAGTTCCCCGTGCTGCAGCCAGTGTTCTATTGAAACAAAAACCTATTGGCATCCTGCGTCCCACGATTGGTTGTAGATCCAGCCAATCAAGAAACAATAGCCAACCAGATTAAAGGTCTGGAAAAAAGGGTCCAATAAGATAAAGGGAAAGGGGAGGGACGAGAAAAGGGTGGCCAAAATGTCAACCCGCCTTAGAAAAAAATGGGACCAATGAAGAACCGGGTGTTGAGCCTTTTGACCAATGGAGTCTCTCGGTCCAACCCAGTTATCGCCCCCTACAGTTTTCTCTTAACAAACCAATCAGAGCCGCCACAGTCTCGAGCCTGTCCAATAGGAGCCGCTGTCTCATGCCGCGGGGCTGTACGCTTTGTTCTCCAATAGGCGCGAGGTTGTGTTTGAGAGGAGCCAATGAAACAGAGGACGTGGTGACAGCTGCCCAATCAGAGGCGCCGTCCCTTCCTCTTATAACGAAAGGGAGGGGAGAGGGGTGGAATGCCACCGCCTGAGGAATGTCAACTATTCAACATGGAGACGGCGGTTACTACGCTCGAGACCATGGTGAGTCCCGGGGCTGCCGTCGCGACGAATGTGGCCGCGGTTTTCTTGAGGGAAGGGGCCGACCGTTGAAAATGTGGGACCAACGAATGGGAGAAAGAAAGGGGAAAAAATTGGGAGGGGGGAGGAACAGTTGGGGAAGGGGAAAATGTAAGGGGATAGTCCCATCCCCCCCCCAACCGTTTTGGACCCAACCACACACCGCGGAGAGGCTTCGGAGAAGATTCCGTTGGGCGATTCCACTATCTTCTGAGGGGAGGACAAAAAGGGGCGTGCTGGTTTTGGTCCATTTCTCTTTGGAGGCTCGCTGTTGGGGGCGTGGCTCGTCTGTGTGGGCGTGGCCCTCCGGCCTAACCCATTCTCTGAAAAGCCTGCTATTTACGGGGCGTGGCCAGAGCTTCGAGGGGGCGTGGCCCGTCGGATTGGTCCATTTCCCCACCCATCATTCATCAAAGGTCCTTTTTCTTAGAGAGAAGGTGGAACAAGATAAGGCTGTGTAGAAGGGTCCATGTCCCCCTTCCATGGGAGAGAAAATAAGAGTTCAGGCTGGTGCCACTACTAAGCAACAACTCTAATTGCCAAAATAATTTTTATGTCCGTTTGAACCAATAATTCACATGACATTACCTATGTCCACTTGAACCTGGGTTTCGCTTTTATATTACCAATATATGACTTGATTTCTTTATAAACTGCCACCCATGTACATAGATCCACCAGCTGTGGGGTGTAGCGGTTGCCAATAATAAAAATATGCAAAGCAGTAGTTATTTATTTATTTAGACAGAATTTGTATGATATAGCACCATCTAGGTGAGCTTGAACTTTGGTTACTATTTTATATTATTAATATATAATGTTTGGGCTCAAGTAATATTTGAACCTGTAGCTGTTGCAATTTTCTTCATCCCAGGAATGGCAGCTGATCTGACAGAGTCTACAGCTTGCTTTGAGTCAGTCCTCCAAGCAAGGGGCCTGACAGTGGTCAGAAATCCAGCCTTTAGGAGGAAGCTGCAAGAAATGTAGCGCACTCCAGCTTAACTTGCACGCTATTGAGAGAAAGGCCTTCAATTGTGTATCTTGTCTTTCCTGCCAAGAGTAAAGAGAACAAACAACATGTGAAATACAGGTGCAATACATGGTAACAATTCAGACTCATCTTTCAAAATTTCTCAGAGGGCACTCCCAGATCTGGAGTATGAGACCGTATCACTGTCCTCTTCCAGAGAGGGGTTCAAAGAATCCTCTCTCCATTTCTGATGGATTTGAGGGAGGGGACAGTGAGACTTCAGACCCATGATCCCGAGTCAAGGGTTGAAGGAGGTCAGCTGGCTGGATGAGAACACTCCTTGTTCCTTTCTTTGATAGTTGGCATATTTCTTGGAGGTGGAAGCTGACAAGAACACCATCCTCCTCTAAAGATGGATTAGTGTGGATATGCACACACACATATTTAAATGAAAATACTGAAAGTGATTTTTGTTCCCAAGGAGAAACAGACACCCCCCCCAAGATCTTGCTTGCTTTTCCCCTTTTTCAAACCAAAGGTGATGGTGCATTTCAAAGAGTCAGTTCTTGTTGCTGAAATGTTTTGTAAGCTTTTCTTTTCTTTTTTGCAAGCCATTTCCATTTTCAGGATCTATTATTTCTTTTGGAACCAAAGAACGCCCTTCTGAGCCTGTTCGATTCTGCTTCCTTGTGGATGGCGAGAGGTGTCTGTCCACTGCCCTTTTTATGTTGTACTACTAGTGAACGTGCACAAAAAGCAGTGCAATGTTAAAAGGGCATTGGCCAGCGATGCTCAGTCAGCTAAAGTGACAACTTGAAGGGAAGTAAGCAATCTTTTGTATGTCTGTGTGTCTGTCTGAAACAGGGGCGGGGGACTCCTTTTTATAGCGGGAATTTTAAAATTGGTGTACTGATATGTGCACCCAGCTATATAACATGTGCATAAATAACAGCCTTATGCAGTTACTAGCTTTCCACTGCAGTTCTTCAATGGTGCATCAGCACCCAGTCAGAAAAGAGCCAGATTCTTTCTTCCTTGATCTAGACCACTCAAAATGAGGTGAGATCAAACATGGACTGTGGATGAGTTGCAAACAGCCTGCTGGAAAGAGTTATGTGTGTGTCGGGAGTTATGATTTAGTTTGGAGGCTTCCCCAGCCCTTTTTAAAAGGCGAAGAAGCTGTTTACCTTTTTCTTATTGTGAAGTTCATTTATAAATTCAAAGTCCAGTAGCCTATTCATTGTTCTGAAGGCTTCTTGCAATGTGTCTCGTGCAGAACATCTCTCCAAAGCACCTTGCTGCTGACAAGGGCTCTGACTTCATTGCACTACTGTACTTCCCAATGAGCAGTGCAATAGTATTGTCAAAGCACTTGTGGGCAGGACCCTCAGCAGTGGCCTTGTGGCTTCTCTCTGTTTCTCCAAACCCTACGTACGTGAATCGTGCAGAGGGGGCTGGAAAGATTTTGTGTTTGCTTTTATGACTGTACAGCAGGCCTGCAAACATTAGCCGGAGACTTAGTGAACAAAGCCTCTGGCTAGCAAGTGGATTTTCTGGAGGGCTGCTTTGAGAAGGGAATGGAGGAATGTTCAACCACCACCAAAATGGGATGTTGTCCAGTAACCATAAATTCTGCTTATTCACACTTTGGTTAGGATGGGTTGGCGGGATTTGTTTTAGTCCGGTGTGTTTTGCCAGTCACTTGATAGGGAAGGAGACACAGTTCACTGGTAGAGCATCTGCTTTGCATGCAGAAGGTCCCAGGTTCAATCCCTGCCACCCCTAGGTAGGGGTGGGAGAAAGTCCTGACTGAAGTCCTTGAGAGGTGCTGCCAGTCAGTGTGGACAATACTGAGCTAGATGGAGCAACAGTCTGACTGTATATGGAAGCTTCCTGTGTTCCTATTACCTCCTTAAGACTGACTCTCTGGCTAATTGATGGAGCTGTGGGTTAAGGGCACAACTATCTTTGAGAGTTTTAAAAAAGTCTATATTGATTCTGGCATGTTGCCATAATAGGAGATGTAGAAGAATATTGGATGGCTTTTAATTTCCTTTTAATTAGGAGTGGCACCTTTTGATTGAAACTGCAGCTTTTGCTTGATAAATTGCCAGTTTTCTTGCATGTCTTTCAGCATCTCAAAGGTACTGGAGCTGCTGGCAAGATGCACATTTTATTTAAAGGTTTATTTATTTTTTAATGCCCTGTCATTTTTCCTCGTTAATTTGTTGACAGCCCTGGTAACTAGGTATCACTTTGTGAGGTCAGCCTGCCTGTTGCATGATGCAACAAGCTTGTGATCACTGAGAAATGGCACTAGTTTTATTTATTTTGCTGCTGGAAAGAGGCTTCTTTTCTCTTATTATGTGCAGCTTGCTGGAAATTTGGAATGGTCCGCTAGTTTTCTGATAGAGCAGCTCCCAGCATGACCATGTACTTCCTTTCAATGGAATTGAAATCTGGAAATCTGGGTACGTAACAGGGCATGCTTACAATTTTCAGATGCAACCTTTTGGGCATCAGGCATATCCAAGCTTTAACATTGTGAGCTCCTTGCCTGCAATCCCTAATTGGATAGGTGGCAGGAAAACAGAAAGCCAAGTACTTCTTTACACATGGAATTCACTTCTATAAGAAGTTGTGATGGCCACTGACTCGGAGGGCTTTAAAAGAGGAATAGTCAAATTCATGGGAGGTAAAGCTATCACTGGCTACTAGCCAGGATGGCTATGTTCACTGTCCGTGGCAATATGCCTCTGAGTACCAGTTGCTGGGAATCACAAGCAGAGAGAGTGCTGTTTTCACTCTGGTCCTGTTTTCAGGATTCCCACTTCAGGCCCTCTGGTTGGCCACCGTGAGAACAGAATGCTGGATGGGCCACAGGTCCGATCCAACAGCCTGTCTCTTTTTGTGTTCTTTTACAAACTGTTGCATGTGCTTTGTATTTTGGGTTCTTGTGATCGCAAGAACGGTTTTGATCAGCTAAAAAAAGACCCTCTGGAATGGGGGTGGGGGAGGCAAAGTCGGGCATGATTTCCTCAAGTTAAATTGTAGTTCTCACAATGGCCAGCAAGGACAGGAGGTTCCTGGTGGGGCGAGTTTTGCAGCAGAGCTGCCTGGGAATGGGGCTTCCGCTTCCCTTCTCCTCCATTAAGGCAGCCTGCTGGAGTGGGCTGCTTCCAGGTGACAGCTGAGGGCAGTGGAGGGGGACCCCAGTGGAGATGGCTTTTCCAAGGGATCTGATGCCCTATAACTGCATAGTCTCCTTTGAGGGTGAGTGAATGGCGTGCTGCCCTCTTGTGTCCAAAGTCGGGAAGCGCAGGTCTTTGTCTGTTAGACATCCCTCCTCCAGCCTTCTGTCCTGCAGGGAGGTTCATTCTTTTGGTTTAATTCTTTTTTCTTTTAGCATTTTAAAATACATAGGCACCTGTTGGCCTCTGAGTAGGAAGCCTTTAATTACTAGCTAGCCCCAACTTTTAATATGGAGGCCAATCTGTATGGCAAGGTAACATTTCCAGGATCTGGATGGCTAAATTTGGCAAATAATAAAGTCCCTTCCCAAAGCGATGTTTTTCCTCTGAAGACATTCCTTGGGCTGTTTCTGTGAACTGGGTGTGCAGCTGCGATTCCCATAAGTCTTTAATAGCTCCTTTAAGGAACTGATTACCGTTAATTAAGTAATGCCCCTGTCATCCCACTGTCTTACTCAGTTCCCTGGTGGCTCAGTAATCATGAATAGAGGGGAATGGTAACATTGTAAGCTTGATTATCTCTTCATCAGCCTTGTTTATCAAATGCCTGGCAAGAGGAGCTATCAAGAGGATGAGTTTTGTAGGGTAATTATGTGGGAGAGAGACTACATAACCCAGATTTGGCAGCCCATAAGCAGATCTCCCTTTGTGTACAGAGCCCATTCTAGTACAGTGGTACCTTGGTAGTTGAACGGCTTGGCTCCCAAACAAATTGGCTCCCAAATGCCACAAACCTAGAAGTGAGTGTTTCAGTTTGCGAACGTTTTTCGGAAGCCAAATGTCCGACGCGGCTTTTGCTTGAGTGCAGGAAGCTCCTGTAGCCAATTGGAAGCTGTGCCTTGGTTTTCAAACCATTTTGGGAGTCGGAAATGGATTAAATTCGAGAACCAAGATACCATTGTATATTATCCCATGCATGTGGTTTGTATGAGAACTCCTTTTGACCCAAGGAATGAAAAAATGATCACACTTCGTTCTCTCAAACTCCTTCTCAAAAAAGAGAGAGTCAGTGTGGTGGCCCAGGGCATCAGCATTCATATCCCTGCTCAGCCATGAAACACTGGGTGATCTTGGGGCAGTTACAGTCTCTCAACCTACTCTACCTCACAGGGTTGTTGTGAGGGGGGGAGGGGGAAAGAAGAGAACCATGTGTGCCACCTTGAGCTCCTTTGAGGAGAGGTGGGGTAGAAATGTGATAATAAAAACTTGCCTCTTTGTATACCTTCAGGGCAGCTAAGAACATTGAAAATGATCTTCTGTTGAGTCGCTCCATTATTCCATCCCATCATTTGCATGCTGCCTTTTCACAGTTAAGCCAAGCTCAAGCCGGCTTACATCACCTAGCCTTGTATTTTTTGTGCCAGGGAAGGTGGCCCTGTGCTGGATCGAGGGGAAGGTTCTCATAGGTGCCATTTGTTCCTTTCTGACATAGAGATGGAAATGGTTGGATGAAGGAGAACTACCTGCCTTTGAAGGTGACTCTTTGCAATGTAGGAAGTCCAGAATGTGACTTGTGAAGAAACCCAAGGGCAGAGACTCTTTCCTGGGCAGTGGGCCAATTCTTGAACACAATTAAAGTAAACCTTTTTCAGACAGAAGAGCGGACTCAACCTCCAGTTTCAATTCAGGGTGCGGGGAAATGTGCCTCTGCTGTCAAAGTTTTGAAAACACAAAACAGGAACTATCGGAGCCTATGTGTTGTATCCAGTGTAGTGCTATTGGCAGTGTGCTTGTTCGACTGGTGAAATGTTTTGTGCAATTGCTCCATCCACCACCGCCTTGGTGCAGGGGGTGGGGGTGGCGTTGGGAGGAAGAGGCAGCCCGCCTGCCTGCTGGGGCGAAGGGAAAGGCAGACAAAATGCACAAGGCTCTGCCTGGCTGCAGATGCTGCCTGATGCTCCTGCCAGACCCAGTGCTTGACAACATCAGGCAGCCCTGCTCCACAAAGCATGGATTGCACCCCACGCATTGTGGAAATGGTGAGCGGTGCCAAGGCTGCCTGATACTGCTGCTGCTGAGCGCTGAGAGCAGAGGGCATCCCTCGGCCAGGTTTCAACATCAGGATGTATCGGCAGATCGCAGTTTGTGGCTAGTGATACATTGTGAAGTTGAAAAGCTGACATCACCCAGCCCTAGTGCACCTTTCTCTATCTTCTCTTCACATCTCCTCTCCACTAATGTGTGTACTGCAACAGTAGGGGTGTTTTGTTTCCAATTTATATAACAGAATTGTGATTGACCATTTGGGTGTTTTAGTTCCAGAAGGCCGAATCCGACCTGGATTACATTCAGGCAATGTTGGAGTTTGAAATGGTGAAAGGGCATGCTGACGGACTGTCTAAAGAGGTACTGAATCTTTTAATGTAGGTTGTAAACCACTTTGAGTCGCCCCCCCCTTATAAAGCTATAGAAATGAAATGAAAAATATTAATAATAATAACTTTGCTTAAGGCTGCACTCCTATGTCCACTTACCTGGGAGTAAGCCCCACTGAACCACGGTGTCCTAGAGCACGTTTAATTGACTTGGTGCTCTCCAGATGCCATTGGACTGAAATTCCCATCAACCCACAGCCATCTTGGCTAATGGCCAGGAATGATGGGTGATGCGGTGCCACAACATCCCTGGGGCCACCATGTTGGTTGCCACTGCCCCAGAGAGTAATCTAATTCAGTAAACACAGCTTTTAAAAAAAGTATCCCGTGTTAATTTTTTGTCCCGAACCACCACAAGCATTTGAATTTGTGGTGGTGGACAGTGGAATTAAACATGGCTTAAATATTACACAGCGATGCTCATAGGGATGTACATGCTTTAATTTGCTGAAATTTATGGGTGGTGGTTGGGGAAATCACAGATGTTTGAATCTGGCACTCTAATTAATTTAATTTTAGCAACCCATGGTATACTGACTCGCATACTTGCCAAGGAAAATTGCCTGAAAAACATCACCATGTCCGTGCTGCACTGTGCAAGTTCTCTGGTCACATCCACACCATATGCTTCCAGCACATGGCTTTCCCCAAAGAATCCCGGAGACTTTCGTTTAAGGGTGCTTTGAATGGTAGCTCTGTGGGTAGAAACTATGGTTTCTATGATTCTTTAAGTGTATGGTGTGGCTGTGACTTCTAACCCTCCAGTTAGCTGAATCTGATTGGGTAGGCTTCCCATTTGTGTTGTGTTTTGAGGGTCCTTTCTCCCTCTCCCCCCCCCCCTTTCTGCTTCTCCTCCAACTGTGTGCATCTTCCTTGCTTTGGCAACAGGAGAATCCTCTGGTTGTCATACAGCAGCTGTCACAGGTGAAGTCTCGCTACAAAATGTTGTGTGAGCAGCTAGAAAGGATTTCTACCGAGCGGCGGGAGTCCATGCGGTTGATCCGTGCTACTCTGGCCAAAACAATGAAGCTGGTTCAGGAAATACAGCAGCACACTGGAATGGAGGTAGCGCTCTTGAGTTGCCTGGCTTGAGGGAGGTGTGTGTGCACACATATAGATATAGGGAGAGACCGAGAGCATTGGACTTTCCTCCATCAGCATATAGGCACTTCAGGAAAGAACACAAGTTGCTTGAAGTGTGCATCTGCAGGTCTGAAATGTACACCTGCTGGTATTCAGCTCCTGCTTTTGAGCTTCCCACTGGGGCATCTGGTTGGCCGCTGTGAGAACAGGATCCTGGACTAAATGGACCACCGGCCTGATCCAGCAAGGCCCATCTGAGCATATTCTGGGTTTCAGTTTGACTCAGTTGGGCCTTGCAATGTCCCATCACAAGCTATGTGAGCACCAGGATCAGTCCCACGGCATATCTTAGAACAAGACCTGGAAGATTTCAGAGTTGTAGGATCTACTATGCTACATTCCTAGGATCCACCGGCTGGAGTCAGAGGGTTGGGGGCCATGGAGCCTGTTGCAAAGTGTTGGCTAGGGGGCAGAGCCGATATTCTATCACTCTTTGTGAGACATATCCTGGGACAAGGGTAGCTGATGCATTGGACCCCAACTCCCATTCTCCCTGGCCCTTAGCTGTGCTGTGGATGATGGTAGTTGGAGTCTCCATGACTTCTGGAGGGCAACAGGTTGGCTTACCCTGCATAATAGTAGTAGTAGTAATTTTATTATTTATACCCTGCCCATCTGGCTGGGTTGCCCCAGCCTTCGAATATCCTACATATTACTAAATTACTAAAACCTACAGATTTTAAATCTCTACAAACTGGGGGTTTTAAAAACCACCCAGCATAACTTCCCAAAGACCTGGCAAAGGCAACCAATGAATTTCACAAGTGAGGAACATCTGAAGTTGACATAGAAGCTATTAGCATAAGGCCTGCCATGGCACATATATATTTGTTTCCTTCATATATGATTGGAAGTTGGAACCCTCTGCCAATCTTGTTTGATGATCTAAAATAGGGCTAGGAATGTGAACAAATGACCTTTGACAAAAGAAATTACAAAACATTACAGAGGTTAGAGACAAGATTTGATGAGGTTCTTGAGGACAATATTTATTTTATTGCAGAATGTAAACAGCCCTGCTTAAGATGTTCCTCTCTCTTGTCCCCAGATCTCACCTCTATCTGAAGAAGAAGAACTTGCAATGCAGCACTTAATGTACCAGACTCTTCAAGTATCAGATACCCCAGAAAAACAGGTAATTCTGAACCCTGGGGATCTTATCTGTGTTTTTACTGAGTAGCTCCAGACAGGGTTCGAAATTAGCGGGTGCCAGTTGCATTTTGCAACTTCCAACTGTCCTTTTGCGACTTGATGGCGATGTCCAGGTGCCACTTTTGGCACCCAGCATCTCCACCTGCCTGGCCGGGTGATTCAGGGGGTCTGGTCTCCAGGGTAGCACGGCAGCAAAAGGCACGTCTTTTGCTATCACTCTACCCTGCCAAACAGCTGCTTTACCCAGTAGCACAGCAGCAAAAGTCACGTCTTTGTTTTTTTGCTGCTGCCACGTCTTCTGCTGCTGCGCTGCCCAGGAGACCCTGATTCACCCGGCAGCAAAAAATATATATAAAAACCACGCCACGGTGGCGGAAAAGTGGCTTATGTTCCTCTCCTACTCCACAATTTAACAAGCAATAATAGAAGCAAGGCAATACCTCCTCTCCCACCTTTTTGCCTGTAGAAATCGTCACTTGACCACTTGCTCAAATTTGAGAAGCGCTAAAGAATGGGCTCACACTTTCTGCTCCCTTTAAATATTTTCACAGATATGCTTTGAAACCTAACTACAAAACATATTTTGGGCTCATGCTTGGGTGGAATAAGACTTCCACAATCATTCCTGAAGTACTGAGACATTGAAAGTTCCATCTGCATCTTTATTATCTGTAGTAGCAGTCAGTGGCGTAGCGTGGGTTGTCAGCACCCGGGGCAAGGCAAGTAATTTGCGCCCCCTAACTCGTGGATTTGCGCCCCCTAACCCGTGGATTTGCCTAACCCCCAGATGTTGCGCCCGGTGCGGCCGGCCCCCCCTGCACCCCCACGCTACGCCACTGGTAGCAGTTCTCCTGTGTGAGGACCAGTTTAATCTTGCTCTTGTCTAGTGGGCAGGGGTGTGTGAATTCAGATAGGCGGTGATATGTGATCCTTCTGCAAAAGTTAACGCAATTCATAAGAAATATGGCAGCAAAATATGGCAGCCTGTGATTCTTGACTTCTGTAGTTTAGAGCAATGTCTTACAAATGAAAAGTAGTTCCTTTTTTTTCTTCCCCTTTGAGGACAGAATATGATTTGTCTTTTAAAAAATGCTGTTCTTCTTTTCTACAGAATTGTCCCAAAGAGCATGAAACTCATTGATCCCAGACAAAAATTCCAAAAATAGCTTGTATGTGAGGGCACTCATCAGAGTTGGAAGTTGAAAACTGAGGCTACACTTTAAATGTCTAGATTGCTTGTGTTTTCTTTTTAATATTGGTACCCAAGTTTCCTGTACATACTTCCTAAATTGTTGTCAAATGAACAATGACTTGAACATTTTGTGGTGATGGGGTTGATATTGTAATGTTCCAAAGGTGCTTTCAACCAGAGCTTGTGGTCCTCTGGATGCTACTGGACTATAACTCCAATCATCCCTCACCACTGGCCGTGGAGTCCTACAACATCTGGCAGACATCCTGTTGGCTAGTCTTGCTCTGGATTAATTCAGTCTGCTGCTTATACTATACAATTAATGGAAGCTGTTTTTGATACATTGTACAGTACCTTTCTCCTTAATGTGGATCTACTTGTATATTCAAAACCAGGCTTCCTCAAACTCGGCCCTCCAGATGTTTTGAAACTACAGTTTCCATCATCCCTGACCACTCGTCCTGCAAGCTAGGGATCATGGGAGTTGTAGGCCAAAAACATCTGTAGGACCAAGTTTGAGGAAGCCTGATTCAAAGCCATAGCTGTACCTTTGAAACAGTAGCCAAATTGATACATTGTGCTTGAAGTTTTATTGTGTTTTTTTAAAATAATACTTAGAAACAATAAAGATAAATGTATGACAACACAAAGAGTTGGCTTCCTTTTTAAATCTTGCGGTTTATTCACCTTTTTTTCCTAGTGTGTCTTTCACCTTCAGTTAACTCCAGAACTATTGTGCCTTTGGCTAATCTGATTTGTGGATAGAATAAGCGAAATCTTAATGGCTGTGTGACTCTTCAGTTAGTAAACCTGGAGTGACAGCTCAGGAGATAAATTCTCTCTCTCTCTCTCTCGTGTGTGTGTGTGTGTGTGTGTGTGTGTAAAATTCTTGAGTAGCTTCCTGCAGTTATTGTGGGAGCAGAGAATATTATACTTGTGTCTCAGATGTGACTCCCAAGAAAACACACACACACACATTGTCAGGTTACCTCTTTTTCCTCCTGGGCATTGACTCTAGCCCAGGCATCCCCAACCTGCGGTCCTCCAGATGTTTTGGCCTACAACTCCCATGATCCCTAGCTAACAGGACCAGTGTCAGGGATGATGGGAATTGTAGTCCAAAACATCTGGAGGGCCGGAGGTTGGGGGTGCCTGCTCTAGCCAGTCAAAGTAAGTACTTTTCAATCCTGTCAATTTCAGTGTAAAAGCTTAAATCTTGCTTGTTGAAATAAGCTTAACTTTGAGTGGTTGTGCCCTAGAGGGTAAACCTGTAGGCATGTTTATAATGTAAGAAAAAAATTTAAATGGCTTGTTCCATATCCTGAAAGTTTGAATGATTTTGAGAGGCCTACAGTTTGGGGAAAGTCTGGCTTAAATATGCCTTTGAACGACTTCCTCTGTAGAGCAACAAATGGCAAAGCAATTCAATTCATAAAATTTGTTAAGCCTAGCAGTGGCAGCACAGGTGGGGCATGAAGGGCAAGTGAGTGGGCTGGCATTAAGAAATGGTACCAGATTTTCCCAAGTGGACCCAGTGATCAACCAGTTGTGTCTCAGCCAGAAATGGTGAGCGACCTTTGGCAAGTTCCTTTCACTTACAAGAGCCAAGAGGCAGCTCACTTTCTTGCTGTCAACTTGGTCAAACTCTTGTTGCTGGGAGCCTCTTGTAGCTCTGGACAACCAAGCTTCAAACATCCCAAGACAAAAGCATTGTTCACATGGATATGGCCTTGCCTTGATAAGGCTCAAGGATGCAATAAGACAAAATGTCACCCAGGTGCCTACGAACCAAAGTTCCACTTGGATTTGAATTTCTTGGAAGGTACCATATCATCCTAAGATTACTTATTGGAATACTGTCTGTCAAGGTTCATGTTTTATAAAGGGAGGCTGAGAGCTCTTACGGGAATAGTCTTATTTAGTAATATGATTGAGTTATGCTGACTGGTTACTAATCCAGTTGTTTCTTCTGGGATTCATTTTTGTTCATGGCGACATTATGGCACAATTTGGGGTTCAACTGTGTACAGTCTAACCCTATATATCTGAAATATGTGTTGCTGTACTCAGTAAGATTTAGTTGATATAGTAAAGAGTTTAGGGTTGCAGCCTGAGCTGAATAATTGACGGGGGGGGGGGGAGAATACCCCTCTCTATATTTTTTAAGGGGTTCCTGATGAAGTAGCAGGCTGCTATATTTTTGAGTTATTTTTCTGTTTGCTATTTTTTTCAACACCTCTTAAGATATCATAACCAAATCTTGCACGATGTTTCCAGACACCAAGGAGGAGGTTTTTGTCTCTAGTTGGATGTGACTGCACACAATTTTGGTTCAAAATGGACCGAACCTTTCAAAACCGCCCTGACTTTTGGGTTTCTTAGAATTCTAGACCAACGCTGGGAACAAGGTTGCTAGTTCTTAATGAATGGATGCAGGTGGCCAACATTATCTTAAAAAGAAATACCCCCACCCCTCTTTAAGATATCTTGTGTAACATCTGTGTGCATCACCTTAATTAGAATCATTTGTTTTTTCATGACATAAGCTAATGCAGGTTGAACAGATCAAACTGATTTCTTCCTGTGTGATGGCCTTCTAGTGCAATTGATTCACAGAAGGCTACAAACATTTTTCGGGAGATGCTGGATGTGAGAGATGGGGAGTTGTCCGTGGGTTTAGCTTCAAGAGTCCTGCTTGTGGGCAGCCACTGTGAACAGGATGCTTGACTAGATAGGCCTTTAGTTTGATCCAGCTGCTAGGCTCTTGTACCCTGGCATCAGTTCCAAGAGGTCAAGGATGGCATGCATGGAGGCCTTTGTGTAACAAGCAATGGGTGGTGCTGTGGGTTAAACCACAGAGCCTAGGACTTGCCGATCAGAAGGTTGGTGGTTCGAATCCCCGTGACGGGGTGAGCTCCCGTTGCTCGGTCTCTGCTCCTGCCAACCTAGCAGTTCGATAGCACGTCAAAGTGCAAGTAGATAAATAGGTACCGCTCCGGTGGGAAGGTAAACAGCGTTTCCGTGCGCTGCTCTGGTTCGCCAGAAGCGGCTTAGTCATGCTGGCCACATGACCCGGAAGCTGTACGCTGGCTCCCTCGGCCAATAAAGCGAGATGAGCGCCACAACCCCAGAGTCGGCCACGACTGGACCTAATGGTCAAGGGTCCCTTTACCTTTACCTATGATAATAATAATGAGGTTATTGCACTACCCCTGAGATATATTTGGCTGAAGCAAGCTCACTGCAAGTTTCACTGACCAGGACAAGTCAATTACTGGCTCTTTGCCTTACCTGTTCCTTAGCTGCTCACGCCTTCCCAATTCAAAATCTTAAACCAACCTCACATCATCCGTGACCACTGCCCATGCTGACTGGGGACGATGGGAGTTGGGAGTTCAACATCTGGAGTCCCCATCCCCGGTAGATCGTAACCTGTTTAAGAAGAAACGTCAATCCTATATGCTGGCTAACAGCTCTTTATACTTGTCCAGGGGAAGGCTGACAATAAACCTCCAGGTAAATATGGTTAGGAGTGAACATAGAAAGCTGTTTTTATACTGAGGTGGACCATTGGTGTATACAGCTGTCTATTGTTTCGCAGACTTGGGTCTCCAGCTCCCATCATCTCTGACCACAGGTCCTGCTAGCTAACAACTGGAGACCCAAATTTGGGAAACCCTGGTCTACACTGACTGGTAGCAGCTCCCAGGGTTTCAGGCAGGGGACATTCCCAGCCCTACCTAGACGTGCTACCAATTGAACCTGCGACGTTCTGCATGCAAAGCGGATAATGCTGCTACTGAGCTGGGACCCCTTCCCCATAAATTACGTGCAGTTTAGTCCTATTCATTCTGGCACAGAAGTGAAGTCCCACTTAATTTAAAAGTAATATACAGCTGAGTAAGTATTAGCACTCCTAATGTGCTGGGGAAATAGGTTTTCTCTGAGGAAATAATAGGATAACAAGCAGAATCTGCTTGTTCAGCTGGCCTGTTTCCCCCTCACTGTATAAGCAGTTTCTTTGTGGCATAAACTGCAAGCCGCAGTGTGCTAACCCCTTCATTGAGTGGTGCCCAGCGAAGCGGGTGACAGTGGAGCTGCTAAACTACATGTACAGGGTTATGTAAACTGTGTCAGCATTCGTAGACAGGAAAACCGGAGCAACGTTGATCACAAATACAGTACTGACTTGGCGATCAGAGTTTTGCTGTAATGAATGCAGGGGGGAAACAGATTAAAATGTGTGGCTGTTAGGGTTATAGCGAGTGACTTTTTTAAAAAAAGTAGCATAAATACCAGAAACTAAGACTTGTGTATATTATTTTTAATTGTATTTACATCCCACCTTTCCTCCTAAGGAGCTCAAGGTGGAATACATGATTTTTCCCTGCCTCATTTAATCCCTACAACAACCCTTGGTTAGGCCAAGAGTTGGTGGTGACTGGCCCAGGGTCACACACTCTGAGCTTAATGGCCAAGTGGGGATTTGACCCCTTGCCTCCTAGGTCCTAGTCCAATAATATAACCCAGGGTTTCCCAGACTTGGGTCTCCAGCTGTTTTTGGACTACAATTCCCATCATCTCTGACCACTGGTCCTGCTAGCTAGGGATGATGGGAGCTGTAGTCCAAAAACAGCTGGAGACCCAAGTTTGGGAAGCACTGGTCTAACCACTACCACAAACAGGATATACATTCTAATAGGCTTGCAGAACATAAGCTGCTCTATTAATTACTGTGGCACTAGCTGGCCAAGGAGCTGAACTCTTAGCACCAGCTTTGCTAGGATCCAATGAAACCTTCCCCAACTTGGTGTCCCCCATATTTTGGACTACAATTCCCATCATTCCTGACCTCTGGGGCTGATGGGAGTTCAAGTCCAAGATCTGGAGAGCCGCAGGTGCCTCATTCCTGGCTTAATTGCCATTTTTTTCAGTCCCCAGTGTTAAGAGGCCTGACTGGCCACAAGCTTTTGACCTTCAGGCATCTATAATAGTAGGTGGGCCTTTGTAGCTATTTAATTTTTATTTTTGGTTAGCCAGAGACCTTGATGATAATATTTTTATATGTTTATAAACTATTTTAAGTTTTAATATTGTACACTGCTGATATTTTATGATATGGTGGTCTATAAAATATTTTTATAAATAAATAGCTTGCATAGGTGTAGCCAGGATTTATGTTGGGGGGGGGGCAGAACCTCATTTATTTACTTGGATTTGGGGGGGTGCAGCTGCCCCCCTTGGCCACACCCAGGCAACCCTGATAAAAATAAAGAGTTCTGGCATACTCAAAATCTTGCTCACAAGCTTTCATTTTGGTCGGTGAAAATGGAGAGGTTTTTGGAGTTATTTCCCCCCCCCCAAAAAAAAGTAAAAGTGGCAGTGTAACCTTTAGCTATGCATGCTACGCTAACCTACCTCTGCTGAGCTTATTTGGAAACACAGGAAATCAGATCACTGATCCATGATCTAGCTCAGTACTGTCTACACTGACTGGCAGCAGCTCTCCAGCGTTTCAGCCAAAATCCTCTCCCCGGTTCACCCTGGAGGGATTTATAAGGCTGCGCCTTATTTTTCCGCCATCCAAACAAACCCGCGCTCACCCCCCTCCACTGAATGCTGCAGCCTCCGGAGCCAGAGAGCCCGTACT